CTTCCTTACTCCATTTCCGACTTGGAATTCGATTGCTTAGGAAATATCCTTTTTATTTTTATTCGAATGGGATCATTAACTGCATATAAAATGCAGCTTAAATTTAAGTGTAGTTAGTGCCTATATAACTGAGGTAATTCATGGTAAGATAAATGGGTAGGTAAGATTCTTGAAGAAGTTGTTAACATAAGTAACCACTTATGTTAACTTATGGTGAACTTTTTAAGTTAACTTTGACTAATCTTGCATACTGAAATGAAACGTGTAGATCATTGTACCGGGTGACCTATTCTGTTTGCAGTGTAGGGTTATCTCGCTTTTTAAAGATAGAACATTACAGTTTTCGCTATCCAGAGCTACCTTGTTGTGAAACTTACGCCCCGTTCGGAACCTCGACATTAGTGGAATAAATTAGTGGTTTCAGATAGCGTAGAATTAAGTAGTAGTTCCTCATTATCCAAATTAGTGGTTTCAAGTTTTTCAATAGAAAGTTCAGTAGTAGTTCCTCTAATTTCAATGTAAGCAACCAGAACGTCAAAATTAGTGGTAGACATTTTCAATTAAGCACTATTTTCACTCGCAATTAGTGGAATAAATTAGTGGTTTCAATTAGCGTAGAAATTTGTTCCTTTAATTGCAATGTAAGAATTCAGAACGCCAAAATTAGTGGTAGACATTATCAATTAGTAAAAAAGTTTTACAAACGACTTCTTCCACTAATTGAACTTCAAAATTCAGACAAATGTCATTTTTTTTTGATTCCAGTCAAGAGAAATTGTCGCAGAAATCGTGATTATTTTATGTTAAATATTCGGCTTTCTCTATGGATACGACTGACTAAGTTGCTAGATATTCTATTATTTTAATTGTGTTTTTTAAATATTGTGAATGATCGTAAACTAAAAACTATAAAGTGTAATTGAAACCACTAATTTCTTCCACTAATTGCGAGGTTCCGAATGAAGCTTTAAAAGGTTTACGATCATTTACAATGTCTAAAATATACAATGAAAATTAATAGAATATCCTAGCAACAGCTTGCCTTAGTCAGTTGTATCCATAGAGAAAGCCGAATATTTAGCTTATAAAATAATCAACTTTTGATTTCTAACGACAATTTCTCTTGACTGAAGATAATCAAAGGTCAAAATGACATTTGTCGCAAATTGAAGTATAATTAGTGGAAAAGCCAAAAGTTTGTAAAAAAAACTTTTTTACTAATTGATAATGTCTACCACTAATTTTGGCGTTCTGAATTCTTACATTGCAATTAAAGGAACAAATTTCTACGCTAATTGAAACCACTAATTTCTTCCACTAATTGCGAGGTTCTGAATGAAGCTTTAAAGGTTTTTTAAGGTTTACGATCATTTACAATGTCTAAAATATACAATGAAAATTAATAGAATATCCTAGCAACAGCTTGCGGTAGTCAGTTGTATCCATAGAGAAAACCTAATAATTATTTTATACAACAATAAAATTTTCATTTCTAATCAAAGTTCAAAATGATATTACTCGCAAATTTTGAAGTATAATTAGAAGCAAAAGTTAAAAGTTTTTTCACTAATTAAAAATTACTACTACTAATTTTGACGCTCAGGATGTTTAGATTGAGAGGAACAAACTTCTACGGTAATTAAAATTGGAGCCACTAATTTATTCTACTAATTTCAAGGTTCTGAATGAAGCTTTAAGACTCCACGAACAAAATTAGCAATGCCTCCTTAGTTTCCAAGATACAGGGTGATTTTGAAAATGCTGCAATTTCATGCACCCCTCGTATCTCAGTTGTTTGACAAATTAGAGAATTCAGTGGCGTCGTTAGTCTTTTTTCTTAATACTTCTATTTTTGAGATATTGGCCAAGTATTTGAAAAGGGACATCCAACTAGTCAACATTTAAGTAGATTGCTTGGTATACAGGGACTTTTTAAATACGTGCAATCCCTGAACAAAAAGTAGTCTAATTTTACAAAATACGTAAAAATGTTGTTTACTTAATATGAGAAATATTTATAATGAACTATTTTTCATATATGTCCATAAATCGTGAACGCATTGTATGTTTGAGGAAACCTTTGGAAAATCAAATGAAAGATCTAACTCTCAAATTAATGAACTAAACTTTAAACTTCATATTTTAATTAAAATCTAAATGTAAAATTAAAATCCATTGTATTTTGTTATTTGTTTTCTTGCGTTATACAGTATAGGAGAGTTGAATAAAATGCATTTAACATAACAGTTCTAATTCTATTTCTAAGGTGTTAAAAATGTGTTTCTTTTATTTGTCCAATAAACAAAAGATCTCACAATAAGCGTTGTAAATGGAAAAACCGGTATGGTGGACAATTTCTTGTTTTATTAAGAGTTTTTTGTAGAAGGGACATGACATCAGTTATCCAAACTTGAATGGGAAGGAACACTTGCTTTAATGCATAAAAATTATAATGAATATCCTCCAATGAGGGAATAAAAGGCACAGTATCATTACAATCTTATTATTAAATTTTATTTTATTTAAGATAAAAGTCATATCTTTCTATTTTCTCTTTTGAAATTATAAGCTCTCTATTGTTAAGTTATTTATTTAGTTTCTCTAACTTTATTTTTTTTATTGTTTAATTTAAAATAATTTAACAATTTGTAATACTTTTAACTATACATGTAATTTTTACTTGTATTTTAATTACTAGACTTGTGTTTTGTGACTGTTTTTATGAACTTTTTTACTTCATTTGACTGTTTTCGTTGACATTGTTAGCTTGGGCGGAGGATAAAACTTCACCCCCTCGAAACATGTCGCTCCCCATATTTGAAAAAAAATTAAATATATTTTTTTAATATTTGATTGTGAGGATACTGTGTCTTTTATTCCCTCATTGGGGGATATTCATTACAATGAACTCACACTGGGCCAAATGGACGTTTGTTAAAAATTATAATTTTAATTCAAGAAAATTCCTATGCTTATAGAACATATTTATTATCTTATCAAACTTGTGTAACTAATTAGAAAATTTCGGAAACAAAATACGCAAAAACATGCCCGTTCTTGTCAGGTTGGGGCAACAAACTTCAAGAATAATTCTGTTAGTCTACACGCGTTTAACCCTAGTTTTAGCCCCGGGCTTGTGGGGTGTAACCGATATCTCTAGAACAAAACCTACGAGGGTAGCACACCCTCTTAACAGATCGACCCCTCGTTTTGCTTATTTAGTTTATATTTGGAGAGACGGGGCGGCATGTAAAACTTTCCTTCCTAATTTCTAATTAATGATGATAGGTGTAGTATAAAATATTCTAATTTTCCCCTTGCCTAGTCACTTAATTTTAGTTTAGTTTTAATTAACAAATTGTATTTCCCTAATTCTTGGTACGAAAATTGTTTTTTATGACGATGAGCAAACGAGTAAAATTTCTTGTGCGCAAAAATAAACTCGCGTTTAAACACCGTAATTGTGGCAACATCGTGAGGACTGCGCTACAGCTCGAAGACTATGGCCAGTGGTAGATAGCAAAAAAACAAAACAACTACTAGGGCACAAAAAGGACCTAGTACGCATAATTGTAGGTGTCGTCACTGGAAACTGTCCCACGGGGGTAAACCTCGTGAGATCGAAAGTTTCCGACGACGACTACTGCAGAGAATGCGGAGAGGAAGAAGAAACCATAGAGCACCTGCTGTGCCACTGTCCGGCACTAAAATACCGACGCTTTAAAACTTTAGGGCAAGGTTTTTTGGAGGGACTAGAGGAAGCAGCAGAAGCCAACATCAGCGACATCGGGAACTTTGCAAAGAGCTGGAAGTGCTTTAAAGCAAAGAAAGAATGAGAGGAAGGTTTGGTACAACAATAACAGGGGTATCGCAATGGGTCCAAGGCTTCCGAGTGAGGGATCAAACATGATCCCAAACCCCAGCAACCTAATCTAACCTAACCTTAAACAGCGTAATAACTGGGCCGGTCAGGCGCTGTGCACAATTTTAGAGGCCATAAGTGGGCGTGCTTGTGCGCAAACTAGTAACCTAACTAGTGCGCGACTCCGAAATTTGGAACCACGAAAAACAATGCTTTTGACGATAAGTTTATAATCTGTATCTATAAGACTCTAGAATGCCACTGATATTCTTAAAAGGTCGTGGAACAACTGTAAATTTGGAAAGTCATATCATTTTTGAATTTTTAACATACTATATCGGCAAGAGACAATTTTGGGTCGGTATTTACATCTTTAGGAGTGAAACCAAACTAATATTTCCTATATTAATGTATGGTTCCGAGTCCTGGAAGATGAAACAGTCAGAAATGAAAAAAAAATGACGCAACTGAGATGTACTGCTGGCAACGAATGCTCAGAATTCCCTGGACTGCCCGGCGAACCAATGAATCCATAACTGAACATCACAGAACGTCTTTTAACTTCTATTCTGTTACGTATACTTAAATATTTCGGTCAAGTTATGAGGAGGGGTACTAGTACTGACTGTATGGAAATACTCATTATACTGGGCAAAGTTCCAGGAAAAAGACGAAGAGGCCGCTCACGCTATCAAAGGCCGATTCTCCATCTCCAATATCAATCGTACTAAAGTTTATGGCATGAATGGTTGTCGTCTCGGCGCACTCAGTGATGAGGTGTTCTGGTGTTTCCCCATTTTCCCCACAGAATCTGCATTCGCCGTTGTTTCTTAGCTTCAATCTAGTGAGGTGTTCGTTGGGGAGACCCTGTTAAAAACCCCATGACAATCTGAAGATTGTTCTTACTTAAATCAAGGAAAATCTTGGATTTTTCTCGGTCGTAAATTCTTAGAAATACTACCGGTAAACTAATACTACAATAATTAAATTGAAATGTTTGTTCATTTTACTGCAACAGAACGACTTAAAATTCACCTGGTTAATAATGTTGATTGAACTTGATTGTGTCTAATAGAAACTGAAACTGTTAAATTATTTAGAATTTAAATCATTCTTATTAAACTTTTTTTCTTTGCAGAAATGGTGAGCGCCTTTCTGACCACAATCGTATAGAACTGAAGAAAAGAAGGATTGCCATTAAACATTTGGAACCTTCTGACAATGGAATTTATAGGTGCTCGGCGAAGAATGCCGCCGGTGTACGGAACAGCTCTAAAAATTTTGCCTTGCGAGTTGAAGGTAATAAAATTCTTAGGGTTTAAGTTGTATTTGCAATAATTTCAGGTCGTGTGTGGGCTATAAAGTTAGGTTTTATGTTAGTCTAGGAACATGCTTAGACTTTTCAATTTGCTAAAACTGGAAAATAAAAGAAATAAATAAGTTTACAGGGCAAAAATGTGTCATTAGTTTTGATTAGGGTTTTAAACATATTATTGCCAAAATTCGGGGAATATCACCACTAAACAAAATAATATAACTATCGGAAATATATCTTAGATAAAACATACTGGCTGGATTAATTTTGGAATTTGAAAAAAATGTCATCTGTCGAAATCTTCTCTGACTAGTCGAAAGAACTTTAGCTCATGCTAATTGTAAATACAACGGGTAAATTGGTTTGGAAGTATCAGTATATAACATGCAATTTTTAAGTTTACCAGAAAAATTAGGCATTTAATAATAAAAAAATGAAAGTGTGTAGTAACTAATGAAACGATCAAAGTTTTCTATTAAAAAAGGATAATCAAATTCTGATGTCATTTGTAACGTATGCAATACAAATTTTGGTACTGCTCACAAAGTCAAAAGAGTATACTTTTTCAGCTGCCTTAATTTCCTCTTTAAAGTAATAGTACAGTCAATCTGGCTTCAAAAAAGGTCTAGACTCCCATCAAATTTCCCCCGCTCATGAGAGGGGGTAATTAGGGTATTAGGGGTAGTATGAACTTTGCCAGTCGTAAAAGGTCCACTGGAAAAGCTTAAATTCGTAACCCCACCATTTTTGAGAAACTCAAAAAAATTTGGATTCGATTTTCTCGCTGAACCGTAGGGCCCACAGAAAATTTTAAGGAACAAAAAATGTAGATAATTAAATTCTCTACATTTTCATCTCTAAGTTACAAATCTCTTTTTGTGTTTCTCAAAACGGTGGGGTGGGGGGATACAAATTTTCGAATTTAAGCTTTTCTAGTGGACCACTTACGACTAACAAAGTATGAGAGTGGTGGTAATTTGATGGGAGTTAAGGGGGGGGGTGCCAGATTGACTGTACTATAAAGTATATATCCAACGAGTCAGGGAAGAATATCGTCAGACGACATCCAAACAATCAGAGAAAATACAGTTTACCTGTGAATTAAAACGACAGACAACAACTTTCATTATCAGGTAGTCTGTCGTTAGATAAACTTTACATAAATAAATTCATAATTTATTTATGGCATTTATTTCTCCGGAATTAGAGGGTTTACTTGTCCGGGACGTTTAGAAACTTGTATGGAAACCTTATTTAGTATTATAAGGTAAAAAAAGTCATGTAGGCACTGTCAGATATAAATTATTGTTGGCAAAAGCATAAACAATAAAGATTAAAAAAATATGTGTAACGAAAAGTGTTAGATTAAGCCGGGACCCCATTAGGCCACAGGCCACGCGACGCCACGCTATCCCACGTGAGCCCACGTGTCGCGACGTGGGAAAGAGTGTACACATGAGATCTGGGACATCACACGCCACCGTGGGATGATGTGACGTGGTGTGGCGTGTTGCCTAGTGTGTACGCAATACATGTAATTAAATGGAGAAACATACGCACATATCTTCATGACGTGGGGTGGCATGGCGTGGCGTGGCGTGTTTGCTAATGGGGTTCCGGCATAATCCTTTAGCAATGTCTTTCCTTTTTTTCAGGAAATAATTACCCTTTAATACAAAGCGTACCTGGAGATCTAGTAATCAAAGAAGGTACTTCAGCCTATTTTCATTGTTCCTATAAGAATGCTGAAACTTTGGATTGGCGGTTTAATAATACGAACATTTTAAAACCCAGTGATAGGTAAATATTCTCCAAAATTTACTTAAACGTAGTTTTTAATGGCCCAAAAATAACTACAATTATTATTGTTTGAATTTTAATAATAAACAATATAAAATCTTTGTTAACACCTAATTTTAAACACTAAATAGTTTTAATTGAAAATGTATTTAGTTTTACTTCCACGTCATTTTATTACTAATATATTTATTTTTTTTTATTTAGAATAACAATACATTCAAACGGGACTCTACAAATAAACAATATCAAAAAGACTGATCACGGCTGGTATAGTTGTATAGGAAACAAAAAAGGCTCAACAGAAAATTCTCAAATATACACTGCCTATTTACAAATCGCATGTACGTTAATACTTTACCGTTTCTTAAGTTTGATATACTGTTTATTCTATTTTTATTATAGTTTTAGATACATTTACATCGAATTCTTTTGAACCCGTGTTATCTGAAACCGGACAAGTTGTCGTTGGAGAGGGTTCATATTTTCAACTCACCTGTCTTGAACCCATAGGCTTGCCTTATGCCAAAAAATGGTGGGAAAATCCTGCGGGACATACAGTAAGTTAAACAAAACTAAAACACCATAAACTGCATATTTTATGTACCAGTAAGTATGGAAAGACTCATACATTTTTCTTAAAAAGGTTTAATAGTTATCTGAGAATATATGTGTAGGGGAATGTAGCCTAGACCGTACCGTTTTTCAGATTTTTTAAGCGTTATTTCAACAGAAATACCAATTTTTCAAAAGCTTTGCAAATGGTACGATTCAGGAAACCGTTCGCCGAAGTCGTACCACTAGGCTTCCTATATCATTCCTATATCGAAATATACATACTCATATACTTAACATTAATTTTAGAGTGATTTAAAAATATAACATTAGGCTTTAACTTGTTTATAAACATCACAAACTTATCTTCCGAACCATTATACTACTGTCAGCTAAGTTTGCAGGTCATCTTGTATCTTAAATCAGCATCTATCTCGGCATCTATATGTAAATATTTCTGTCTATAGACCAAATACTACACCTCAAAAATTCATTTGTAGCATTTGCTACACTTACAACTCTACCGTAAGATTTATCTATTTACCTGCTACTTTCCTAAATCATACTGGTACAAATTGAGCAACCAAACAGGGGTACTGTTGGGTACTGTTGTATATTTAGTAAGTAAGTATTAACAACAAGTATTAACTTGTCATAATGTCATTGAAAATAGCGCAAGTTATTTAGCACTATTTTTAGTAATAAGGTGATGTTTAACAATGTGGAATGTAAGGAAATATAGGTACTTTAGTTTGAGAAAGAAATACACATTCTCAATTACATTCCCCTAAGCCATACAAAATCACTTGCCACAAGCACAGATTTGATGTCAATTATTTAGACAAGCACTCGTGCTGCTTGAAAAATATCTTAGGTATTATTCGACATCTTATTTGACTTACTAAATATACTACAGGGTCTATGACCAATGCAGTTATAAACCAGATAGAGAAAGAGGTACTATTTAGGTATAGGCGACTTTCCTCTATATTTAGTTTAAAAGAGCTTGAAATTTTTATTTTTGCATATTCTACCATGAAAAATAAAAAAGAAGTTATCCTCAACGATCTAAACCTATATACGTGATTTGCTTTTGCAGATTTCTGACAGGGGTGACATTTATGTGGATGATGGGAGACTCGTTATTCAGAAAGTAAAATCGTCTGATGCCGGAAAATACACTTGCGTCGCAGAAAATATAGCTGGCAAAACCACAAAAGCTGTCGAAATTGTTGTTACTAGTAAGTTTTAAGCAGTAAGAATAAAAAAGGGAGTATATATAAATATTAACTATCTATAGAGAGTTATTTTATCAGTTTTGATACAGAGTTTTTTACCGAACTCATGCAATGACGTGTGAAACAAGTTTTTTTAGATTAATGATATTTTGTGTATGTTTTTTTTTTAAATCCAAAGTGTACGTTTTTGAAGTGAAACTTCTTTACGCGCGTTAGGAGTAAAGAATCAAGGCCGTGACACACGAGCTAGCGTCAGGAAAAGTGGTAACGATCGGAGGAAACGACAGAACGTCGTAACTCTGGCCCTACGGGCTACACGCAAAAAATGCGGAACCTTTCAGGAGATATATTAATTTATTTTTTTACTATAACATATTTTCTTTATTTTATGACATTATTTTTTTATTAATTTTGTTTTAATACAAAATCAACGGTTTATAATAGACGCATCTGCTAAAAGCAAAAGTGTTCTTGAATAGTTGTATTTAGTAATTTTAAAGTTTTTCTTTTTTCTCTTTGTTTTTATTTTTGCTGCTTTTTTAGTATTAAAAATCCACCAAATTGGTTTGCGTTTAGAAACGTAGTGATGTTTAAAAAAATAATTTTTCTCTTCTAGTGACGAAAAAAACAAGTCTTTTCTACAGGGTGTGTCAGAAAGCATGTGCCATCTCTCGTAGGGAGATTCCTCACATAAACACAAGATTTATTTTTCATATCAACATACGTCCGATTCTGTTTTGTTTCGTAGTTACAGGGTGTTAAAGTCTTAATAATCTTTCAATTTATTATAATTTTCTTCCAAGTACTTTTATTGATTCGAATTAAATTTTCAGAGGAAAAATTACTATAAGTGCTACATATTTTAATGCTAAAAAAGTGTCGATAAATTCATCAGGAACGTGCTATCAGGAACGTGTTATCACTAGAATATTATTCAAAAAAAAATATGTGCGCCACTGACTTTTTTCTTTTGATATCAAAATTGTGGAGACCCTTTACTGTCAATTAAAGTTATCTCTTGATATTTTGTCGAATTCGGCCTCCTTGATGAGATAAACGTAATTTTGTTAATCACAATTAATAAAATTAAAATTAAAATTATATTAATAAATTATATATTTTACCTACTTTATTATTAAATACTATTAGTATTAGTTATTATTACTATTAGTCCCACCTACAGCAATTTTTTTTCTTAAATAAAAAAATAATGGTATTTAAGATAATTAAAAAAACTAATTTAAAAAGTTTTAACATCCTGTAACTCTAAAACTACGCACTTCCATACCCAATCTTATAGGAACTTTTTTATATTTTTTGGAATCAATGAGTACTTATTTAAAGTGTTTGCAAGTTAATGGTACTACATTTTTTTAAAGGTTGCTATTAGGCTTGGATCAAGGCAAATTAATAAAATTGCGTTTATCTCACGAAGGAGGCCGACTTTTAATCGGCATTAAACTGCTTACACTATTTCGGTAAAAAGGAAAAAAAAGTGGCGTACATGTTTTTTTTAGAAAAATATTCCAGTGATAACCCATATGCACGTCCCTGGTGAATATGTCGACACTTTTTTAGCTTTAAAATATGTCACGTTTATAGTAACTTTTACCTCCAAAATTTCATTCGAAACGCTAAAAGTACTTGGAGGAAAATTATAATAAATCGAAAAAATATTAAGACTTTAATACCCTGTTGCTACGAAACAAAGCAGAATCGGACCTATGTTGATATGAAAAATTATTCTTATTTTACTGTGAGGAATCTCCCCACGAGAGATGGCACATGTTTTTTAAAACACCCTGTATAATCTGTAAAAAATTACATTTACAAAAAACATAAATTTTGAAAATTTTTGTTTTTTTTAGCTAAACCATCATTATTGCAAGGCCCTTCTAGCGTCACGGTCGACGAAAACGAAAAATCAGTTTTAACTTGTGCTTACAACACCACTCACGAAGAATACACCGCGGTAAGATGGCGAAAGGACGGCAAGTTGTTAAAGGTAAGCTGTCTCATCTTCGGCGCAAAGTTATTTCATCACGTTCTTTATACTTTTAGCACGAGTACAGCGAAGCAAATTCCCTACACCAAAGGATACGAGTCTATAAACATAACGGCACGCTGGTAATACACTCGACACAAACGTCAGACAGAGGAGAATACGTATGTGAAGTGATTACGGAAGGTTTCGGACCGGTGACTTCGGAGCCAGCGACGATATCTGTTATTGGTATGTTCCTTGTCAGATTTTAAATCCTGTACAGGGTGTCCCATTCTGGTTGAAATCATACGGTATCTCCGATATTAGTGAAAATAAAAGGACGCGGTTTGCACAAACCTGTACCACTTTTTTGTCAAACGAAAGATGCTGTAAACAAAATTTTCATAGCCCTCCTCGTTTCTGAGCTGCAGGGTCTTTTTCAAAATTTTGCAATTTGGGATGCCCCCTGTATCTCTGTTATTGTTAAAGGTATCGAGAAGGTAAAAACTGTTTATTGTAGAACTTTTTACGGAGAATACAGTGTCGTAGTCTGTTATTCTACGAAAATAATATTTTCGAAGATATTAACTAAAGTTATGTTTTTTTAAATGGAACACCCTGTATATTTATAAATTATATGATTTGGCTTGCCATAAGCTTCTCAAAAATATATCACTCTATATTTATTTTCACTATTTACTGCAATATTTAAAAGTTTTTATTAAAAAATCATATTTATTAGTAGGCCATGATTGATAATAAAAGTAACTAAAGCATTATTAAAAGTATACTGCTACCTGTCTCTTGTTTTATTTTAGAGGCCACTAATAATTTTTTATATATTAGGAAAACTTAACTCTCTACCTCTATTTGTAAATCTTTGAAGTTATCGTACCGGAACTTTTAGATATTCCTTTAGCTAATTTACGTGAAATATACTTTCAGCAAGATGAGGCTTTCCCTAACAACTTTGAAAATATTAGAATTTTATTAAATTATTATTTCTCAAATCAATGAATTGGAACCAATGGACGCATATGATGGCCTCCCTGATTCCCGGATTTGTCCGTTCTCGATTTCTGATTTTCGTGATTTTTAAAATATGAAATATATCGTGGCAACTACAACAATGTCGAATACCAGGAAAATGCTTTAATAATGCAAGCTTTTAGATATTTGCAAACTTATCCCGTTATAATAAATTCCGTTAGAAAGAAAGAAAAATATATTCAGAAATTCAGTAGGAACAGTTCAAAAGTAAAATATATCAATCCCAAATAAAATTTTAATGTGTGTATGACCATTTTAGTAAATATCATTTTGATGTTTCATTTTTATGTTATTTATCACGGCCTACTAATAAAAAAAATGATATATTTTAAATATTGAAGTAAAGAGTGAAAATATATATAGAATGATATGTATTTTTGAGAAGCTCATAGCAAGACGGATCATATGTTTATAAATATACAGGGTATTCCATTTGAAAAAACATAACTTTAGTTCATATTTTTAAAAATATTTTTTCGTAGAAAAACAGACTACGCCACTGTATAAAAAAAAGTAAAAAGTTCTACAATAAATAAAAAAAAAGTAAAAAGTTCTACAAGAATCAGTTTTCACCTTCTCGATACCATCCACAATAACGGAGATACGCGTGCTGACCCAAATTGCAAAATTTTCAAAAAGACCCTGTACCTCAGAAACGAAAATTTTCTTTACGACATCTTCCGTTTGATAAAAAAGTGGGACAGGTTTGTGCAAACCGCACTCTTCTAGCTTCACTAATAACGGAGATGATTTCTAACCCTATGTATTTTTAATTCATTGAAAAGAATTTAAAATTAACTTTCCGAAAATATAGCATGCTTGATATTTTGCTCGATTCCTTTTCGAGATATACCGGGTGTTGCATCGTCGGACGGGACATAGGAAATCCCATGTAAATTTTAATGGGGTCAATTATTGGCTTCCCTAATTATTTTAGAGAATATTTCTATTTAGGTTTATTGAAGAGCACTAAAACCCACATTCAAAAGAATAACTTTGGATATTTTTGATTAGCTCGTTTACGAGTTATCGCCCATTTCTTTTTAAATATTTATCCTTTCTTATGGCCCTGTATTTACTTATGAGCACCAGTCAAGGTAAAAGATAACTGTCAAATGAAGTTGTCATTTTGAGAAATTTACCTATTTAGTGCTTTATTATTATTGAAAACTCATTCCTACATCGGAAATCTTAAAGATGTATTTATAAATACAAATTAATATGAATTAAAGTAAAATAAATTAATCAATTACAAGGTTAATTATAGTATTATTACAATACTCAATAACTTATTAATTTAGGTACTATTAAATGACAACTTCATTTGACAGTTATCTTTTACCTTGACTGGTGCTCATAAGTAAATACAGGGCCATAAGAAAGGAGAAATTTAAAAAGAAATCGGCGATAACTTTTAAACGGGCTAATCAAAAATATCTAAAGTTATTCTTTTGAATGTGGGTTTTAGTACTCTTCAATAAACCTAATAGAATTATTCTCTAAAATAATTAGGGAAGCCAATAATTGACCCCATTAAAATTTACATGGGATTTCCTATGTCCCGCTCGACGATGCAACACCCGTTAGAGTTTTTAAAAATTCGCCTACTTTGAATAAGTAGGCTTTGAACCGCGCCGGCTGTAAACCAAAAATATTCTAGCTGTGAGCAGCACTTAAAACGAAAATAATATTTGCAATGAGAGATGCAGACTTTTATAACAATATAAACTACATATATTAAACAACATCAACACATTTAAACTATATCAAATAACAATAAAAATAAATAGCATGAGATTTTACTACAAGACATGAGATTTTATTATAGGTGTTCGACATGTCGACCGTCTTCTGTTATGGACAGACAGGATCATTTTTGAACATTTCTCTCAGTAACTCAGTGGCTTTGCAACAACAACCTCTTCTTGGCTTGTTCGTGTATATCAGTTATATTAACTAATTCGTTGTTATGAAAATCTGTAACTATTATCTCTTCCATTTATACTTATTACAACAAATTAAACTAAAATTCAAGTCTTGTTCTTAACTTTCTTAACAGATATATGAAATTTTGATAATTATTACTTTTTGTCATGGCAACTATGATATTATAGAGTAATTTGTAGATTCTAAAATTTTTGAAAACTTAAAAAACTGTAAGATACCAAGGTTTTTGGGTTTTTCTAAACTAAATAATTTGAGGAAAACAAAATCTTTTCCTTTTTTAAGTTGTGACTGGTTTTAAGAGCATATAATTACTGAAAAATACAGTAATATCAAGTTTTCCTTTGTGTGGATGTTTTTCAGAAATTTCTCTTGTTTTTGCTACACAATATATACGCGTCTCCATATAATTTAGAATTTATTTCAAAATTTTAAAGCCTATTCTTTATGCTGGATGAATTTCATTCTCTCTGTTCTTCTTCGTTATTACTTTTTTTAGCCAGTTTATAATAAAACATTTTTGTCTCTCCTCTAATTGAAATTAAGTCTATTCTAGTATTTGGAATATAATTATAACAATGTTGCAATAAAATAACGCTATGGTAATTTTGAGGGTTGGTATGATTAATGATTGGCTTCAGGTTTTTTTTATGTTAATAATGTTTATGAATTTATTTCTATATAACAACGTTTCGACAACCCAAGTGTCATTCTCAAGTCGAATATATTAGAGTTGATACAAAGTACTGGGATGAGAAATACGCGTAGTAACAGTCTGGAACAGGAATTGATTTAAAAAATACTAGTTTTTTAGGATATTTTTTTTCTGTAGATTAGATTTTTCTCATTCTAGGAGTCAATTTCGCTATCTCGAGGTTAGGTTTTTATATAATAATAATACTCTTTTAAACTTGACCTCTTTATGATAAAATGTAAAATAATCAATTTTTTTACCTTATAAAAATAATTATTATAGAGTGAATACTATTTTTAGAAAGCCCATAACAAGGCAAATAAAATAAAAGAATAATATACAGGGTGCCTGAATGAATAATATACAGGGGTGCCTACAAAACATGTGGATCTCCCATTTAAAAAGACAAAAAAATGAATTTAAATAACAGACAACTAAGACTAACTCCGTTCCAATAGCTATAATATCTAAGTCGGACCAACAAAAGAGGGACTATTATGACAGACGACATTTAAGGTGACAGACAACAACTGTCAGTGTTATGCGTTCTGTCGTTGAACATACGTATACATATGTATTTACTTTTATCAGTATGTCCTATGTGTATCAGTAAATGTCCTTTTATTTTTGATATTTATCATGACTTTGGTTCATATGATTTAAATATTAATGTAGTAATAATAAATATATATTACTTATACCGTATGTTTGAAAAAACCGGTGTCAAGATAGTTCGGATATGACGATCGATGATATTCACAATTCCAAGCCAATTCTGCTGCCATATCAATGAACTGAGAAACCATATTTTCTTTTAGAACAATTACGTTTCGTACCACCTCCTGTCAATCGAAAACTGGAGCTCGACAGTGTTGCCAAAATTCACTGCAAAGCCCAAGGTACGCCGCCACCGCTGATTCACTGGGAGAAAAACGAATTGTCTCCTGATAACTTTCCAAGTCACATCACCGATATGAATGGTACCCTCCATTTCAACAGAGTCACAGCAAAAGATAAAGGAAAATACAGTTGTATAGCCAGTAATAGTCAGGGTACCATAAACGCCTCAATTAATATAGATGTTGTAGGTAAGAGACCAATATTTTGTATCTAATTTTAGAATATTTTTTACTGGTGAACTGATGTAACGGAAGTATCAGTTTTCAATAAGTAGGCTGCATTTCCTATTTTTCAATTTTGATTGCGTGTTGGATCAAGGTTTACACTATATTGGAAAATTTACATCATGAAACCTAAGTATACACATATATAACAGGGAAATTATTTTCTGGATATAGATGGTGAGCCATAATGTTTGCTACAAAAGGAACGGTTTACTATTGACAGATGATGTTTATGCATTCGGAATTACTTCAACATGGGCAGCATGGGCAGTAACAAAAAAAAACATTATGACATATGTATGTCAGGGCGGTAAATTACAAATATACTTTTTAAATATTGAAAAAGTAGGGTAGGTAACAAAATATCGCCAACAATCAAAGAGAAAAGTTGTTCAGAATTTGATTTTACGTCTAAGTTCAGGTTTCATAAATATACTAGGACTTCAAATTAAATTCTGAACAATTCTTCGATATCTTGTCATCTAAACTCACTTTTTGCATATGTAAATGGGATTTCTGTAATTTGCCACCTTGGCAGTAGTCGCATGACATATGTCAAAACGGCGTTTTTTGTTACTGGATATGGTGAAGATATTTTGCACATTTGTTTCCAATAAATTAATAATTAAAAAGTTTCCTATTTGTTACGATTTTTTTAGCACACACGGTATATAATATTCTTTTCTTCGCTTACAACATATCTTACTTCTAGGTTTTATAATTTATCTATTGTGAAAACTAAAAATTCTCGAGAAGAACGAAATTACAAAAATTGACGAAACCAAAAATTATGCAATTTTTATAATTTTAATTAATTTATATAATTAATAATAAATATAAGTAATTTTTTTCTAGTTGCACCAAAATTTGTGGTTCCCCTTAAAAGTCCAGTTGAGGTAAACGAAGGAGAGTCTTTAATAATCAATTGTGTGGTGGAAGGAGATCCAGAACCCACTGTACAATGGGACAAAAATTCGAAAATGAACGATTTCGATATATCCAGGTTCAAATTTTTACCCAACGGATCTTTGTTCATCTCAGAAGTATACAGAGATGACGAAAATAAATATGGCTGTACCGCGGGGAACAGTGCTGGTTTAAATAGAAAAGAAATTCAATTAATTGTTCATGGTAAGAAATTAATTATTAATTAATCATTATTTTAATTACAAGAAAATAAAAGACGTTCTTAATAATGTACAGGGACATCATTTTAAGTGTCTCACTCGATTTATAATTTTCCTGTTTGGTATTTAAAGATAGTAGAAAGATTTTCTAATGTAATTTTTCGCGAGGATGCCGATTCTCTACATCAAAATTTTTGAAAACGTCAATTTTGACAGATACGACGCCATTTTGATTTTTTTTAAATGGAAACCCCCACATATTTTAGCATGAAATCTTTAGAATTATTTTAAGTGACTCATCCAGTTTACAATTTTCGAATTTTAAAATTCTTGAAAATGTGAAATTTGACAATTACTACGCTTAATTTTTTTTATTTTTTTATACTTTGATTCTTCTTCAATATGACCTTTACATACGGGGTGATTCCGGAAACTTTGGCAGCATATTTTGCAGATAAAAATAAGTAAAAAAGTTCGTATAAATGTCCTAACATGCTTAGTTTCGGAGATACAGGGTGTAGAAGTATCATTTTTATTTCGATTTTTTCCAAATAATTTGTGAAGTAACGTTAATACTGTGATGAAAATTGGTGTCTGGGAGATTTTTGATATGAGAAATTTGATTTTGATGTCAATATAAATCCAATTTCTAGGGGGCGCCACATACACGTGTTTTAAATGTTTTGAAGAGTAACAACTTTTCGTCCGTACTACTGAGTATACGTACTATAAAACTACTGAGTGAAAAATTGTTCATTTATAACGATTTTTACGTAAAAAAGGTCTGTTGGTAAAAATTGTTACGAGTAAGGGTTCTCGAGATATTGGGAATCGAAATTATCAATACCTGTCATCATTGACATATATTAAACATGTGGACTAAATAGTTACTAGTCTGAAATCATAAATTTGAAATGTTTTTTTGCCAAAAGGTCAACAGAAACTGTTTTATGATCATTTTTCCGCAGAAAAATTTATAATTAATTTAAAAAAATTAAAATTTCCCACATTTATTATTTCAGCCAAATATCTATCTACTCAACGTGTTTATTTTTTTGTCAATAATGACATGTATTGACTATTTCCATTCGAAATATCTTGAGAATGGTTGCTCGTAGCGATTTACCGAGAGATATTTTTACGTAAAAAGTCAAGAAAATGTATATTTTTTTACTCATTAGTTTTATACAGGTATGGGCGAAAAGTTATTACTTTTCAAAACAGTTAAAACACATGTAGGTGGCGCCCCCTACAAATAAGAGTCATATTGATATCAAAATCAAGTTTCTCATGTCAAAAACTCCCAGACACGAATTTTCAGTCAAATATTGACGTTACTTCAGAAATTAATTGGAAAAATCGAAATAAAATGAAACTTCTACACCCTGTATCTCCGAAACTAAGTATTGTAGGACATATATTTATACGAACTTTTTTACTTATTTTTATCTGCAGAGTATGCTGCCGAAGTTTCCGGAATACAGTTCGGACCACCCTGTATATATAAAAAATGAAAATTTAGTTTTAAACTGCTAGTCATTTATCATAAGATAGCTCAATTTACGTAAATTTCATGCATTTGTATACAAATGCCACTCAGTTGTAAGTGAATGGCATTCATATTCAAATACATAATAATTAGAGGAATTCTTGATTTCAACCCCCTGTATATAGAAAACGGTAAATGCAAAGTATACTAAACTATATATTTTTGAAATTAGCTAAAATATGTCTACCGGACCATGCTAAAATATGTGGGGGTTTCCATTTAAAAAAAATCAAGATGGCGTCGTATCTGTCAAAATTGACGTTGTAAAAAATGTTAATATAGAAAATCGGCATCATCGCGAAAAATTACATTAAAATATCTTTTTACTATCTTAAAATAGAAAAGAGGAAAATTTTAAATTGGGTGAGACACTTAAAATGATTCTGGAACAATTCATTTTTAAATCTACTGTATATCGAAAACGGTAAGAGCAAAGTATACTAAACTATATATTTTTGAAATTAGCTAAAATATGTCTACCGGACCATGCTAAAATATGTGGGGGTTTCCATTTAAAAAAAATCAAGATGGCGTCGTATCTGTCAAAATTGACGCTGTAAAAAATTTTAATGTAGAAAATCGGCATCCTCGCAAAAAATTGCATTAAAATATCTTTTTACTATCTTAAAATAGAAAAGAAAATTTTAAATTGGGTGAGACACTTAAAATGATTCTGGAACAATTCATTTTTAAATCCACTGTATATCGAAAACGGTAAGAGCAAAGTATACTAAACTATATATTTTTGAAATTAGCTAAAATATGTCTACCGGACCATGCTAAAATATGTGGGGGTTTCCATTTAAAAAAAATCAAGATGGCGTCGTATCTGTCAAAATTGACACTGTAAAAAATTTTAATGTAGAAAATCGGCATCCTCGCAAAAAATTGCATTAAAATATCTTTTTACTATCTTAAAATAGAAAAGAGGAAAATTTTAAATTGGGGAGACACTTAAAATGATTCTGGACCAATTCATTTTTAAATCCACTGTATATCGAAAACGGTAAGAGCAAAGTATACTAAACTATATATTTTTGAAATTAGCTAAAATATGTCTACCGGACCATGCTAAAATATGTGGGGGTTTCCATTTAAATAAAATCAAGATGACGTCGTATCTGTCAAAATTGACGTTGTAAAAAAATTTAATGTAGAAAATCGGCATCCTCGCGAAAAATTACATTAAAATATATTTTTACTATCTTAAAATAGAAAAGAGGAAAATTTTAAATTGGGTGAGACACTTAAAATGATTCTGGAACAATTCATTTTCAAATCCACTGTATATCGAAAACGGTAAGAGCAAAGTATACTAAACTATATATTTTTGAAATTAGCTAAAATATGTCTACCGGACCATGCTAAAATATGTGGGGGTTTCCATTTAAAAAAATCAAGAACGGATCTTTGTTCATCTCAGAAGTATACAGAGATGACGAAAATAAATATGGCTGTACCGCGGGGAACAGTGCTGGTTTAAATAGAAAAGAAATTCAATTAATTGTTCATGGTAAGAAATTAATTATTAATTAATCATTATTTTAATTAGAAGAAAATAAAAGACGTTCTTAATAATGTACATTTAGTTTATTTACTGTCAGTAAATCATTATACACGTTTTATTATGAAAGTACTTTGAATTAAATTTTAAATAAAACCGTATTGCCTATATTGTTTTATAACTTACTAGTTGATGTAGTTTTAAAGTAAAAAAATATATTACAGGGAAAGATGGATACCACGCTGGAGGAGATGGAGATACCACAGTGACCAAAGCTGTCTTGATTACTATGTCCGTTGCAGGCGCCTATATTGTTTTAGTTATCGGACTAATGATTTGGTGCCGCTACAGAAGGAGGTCTAGAAAATTACCAATTGCGGATGGTACGTTGACTTTTCTACAGGGTGTGTCAAAAATTGTGTAAAGTAGAATTATATAGCCATGGTACTAATTACAATATAATTACAGATATTACTACAATCTAACAATTTCTACATACATACTTCTGAAATACTGCCTTTGAAACAAAAATATAAATAATAAAAATATAAAAAAAATAAAATTTTAGGATTTGGAGTTTAGAGACAAATTCCTCATTTGCTTTTTATTTATACACAAAAAATTCATAATCAACGAATTTGAAGGCGTTAGCCCCATATTCACTATGTGCTAATTGTCGATTTGGTGCGTTCATGAACGATGCGTCGATACGGTTCGTCGATGCGATTCGTTAGTTCGTTGGGAAATTTGTCCATTGTGTTCGTGATATTTCTTTTGATGGTTCGCCCAAAAACCGACATTCCGCCGAATTGCTCGAAAACCCATTGCATCGCCGATTCGACCCATTAACGAATCGCATTGAGAAATCGCATCAACGAACCGCATCATTGAATAGTGAGTATATAGAGCTTTAAAGTGTTCTCTTTTTTACTTTTTTTATAAACTTTAAACTAGCGTGTACCCGCGACTTCGTTCGCGTCGAATTAATCATTTGTAATGGTGATGATAAAGCAAAGCAAGAATTTCCATTAAGATACAAACTGAATACAATTTTCTCACATTTATGTCAGCATGAGCAAAAATAATATGGCGATATTATTATATAACTTGGTAATATTTGAGGGGTAGTTTCATCTCGTTGGAATTTGACTTTTGAAAAATCCTTTGCCAAAAATAAGCTTTTTACGTCAAGCAGTTTAAGCAGAATCGTGATTACTCAATGGTCATATTTTATGAAACACCCGGTATACATTTTTAAAAAATCTTAAAATATGTAAAATAACAAAATAAAATATACGTGTTTAAGCGTTTTTCCGGAAACTTGATTTTTAAATAAAAAATATTGTAATATTTGAGGGGTGGTTTCACCCCCTTGGAACTGGAATTTCGAAAAAAACCTTCTTATCGAACCCCTACACCCTAGAATCAACCTGTATGCCAAAATTGAGCTTCTTACGTTGAGTGGTTTAAGCAGGATCGTGATTAATCAGTGAGTCAGTCACGTAAGGATTTTATATATTAGTATAGATTGCTATTTATTTTTTGTTTCCAAAGGCTAGAGATGATATACTTCTTAAAATGTCAAGTGTTTTTTATTGTTGTTTAGGAGATTGTGTACAAGTAAAGAACAGTCGAAAAACTTACCTCTATAGATTGTAAACTCAGTAGCTTTTGCACAAAGATAACGCCTACAATTTCGTCACATATATTATCATACGATTCTACTTTAAGCAATATTTTATTTAATCTTAATATATAAAAATTTATAAACCAAGGTAGAATTTCCGTAAATGGTATGGTTTTTCTTACAGGAAAATTAGAAAATGGAGATTTGGAACATCAAGAATTAAAAGCGAATGAAAACGGAACCGGTCCTGGACCATCCAAAACAGCGATGAATGGCGTAGAAACCCACAAAGAAGGACAAAAAAGCGACGGAGCTGACACCTGTAATTCCCAAGGCTCCAACCAATCGAAAAAATCCAAAACAAGCTATGATAAGTAAGATTTTTTCTAGTTGTAACGCCATTATCTGTTTCATACTGTATCCTAAAACACATTTACATACTTGATTTTAATTAGGAAAATAAAGTTTTACAGTAGTAAGTCCAGTAAAAAAATTACCGGAGTAGGCCTATCAAACTTTTTTACCAGAAAAACATTTTAAATTTTTAACAAGATTTTTATTCACTCAGAATAAAATACCGAATAAGTATTTTAAAACAATCTTTTCTAATCACGTATGAAATAAAAACTATAATAATTTTATTTGCATAATATTCTTTTTCATATATCGTCCTGATGATTATTTTGGTATCAACTACTCTGTAGTCTCGTTAGGTTGCGCCATAACTTTTTTCTGTCATCATCTGTCTTTCAACACTGTCTGTCATCAAATTTTCAGTACTAATCAACACTCCATTTTATCAGCTTTTTAAAAATAAGTAAATTCATTTAATACCACTGACTTTTAAGTGACTCTTCTCTGATGTAAATAAAATTAGAACCATAGATAAATGAAACAATTTAGATAAATGAAACAACAGTGCCAGATTGCGTACAACAGCCGCGACCCAAAACAATTATACAGGGTGTCCCAGAAATAAGTGCAAGTATTTTAAGGGGTGGTAGATCTGGTCAAAAGAAACATTTTTTCTCTTTACCATTTTTCAAATTAGTCCAAAATAACCGAGTTATTTTACTTTGAAAATTTAAACAAAAAATGCTTTTTTGCTTAAATTTTGCGGACCACTGGATCTTTTTTGGATCTTCTTTCATGTAAATTTAATAGTGATGGGTAAAACTGTTATTTTTAGATAACAGTTGAAACTGTTATAGTTATTTATAAATAACAGCTTAAAAATAACAGGTTTCTTTATTTTATTGCTAAATATCTGAAAGAGTATGAGGCGGTCATCGCCAAGCGTATTAACGCAGTTGCATGTTGCAACAATGACGTGCTCGGTGGGGCATAACATTTCTAAATATCGATTGTTATCTCTACCTACCTTGTTATAAAATACCTCTCTAAAAACGGTGGTTGTTTACAAATAAGCGCTGTTTACAAATTGCGATATAAAAAAGCCAAAATGCCGCCACTCGTCTATACCTATACATTCCGATCTACCTACGCCCTACCCCTCGATCCGCGTAGATCCTGAATTGCGTAGCACTGTACAGAGCGCATCTCACTCGACGGGCGAGAAGCTCTTAGTTATGATTTTACCATTTGCGGTCGAAAAATAGCAATTTAAGAAAATGTGTAGTATATTCTTCATAAGTAAACCAACTACACATTAGAGTTCGAATTAATTTTACACTTAAACTAGCGTGTAAACGCGACTTCGTTCGCGTCGAATTATTAATTTGTAATGGTGATGATAAAGCAAAGCAAGAATTTCCATTAACATACAAACTGGATAAAATTTTCTCACATTTGCCAAAAATAAGCTTTAAACGTCGAGCAGTTTAAGCAGAATCGTGGTTAATCAAATTACTCAACTTTTTGGAACACTGTATGATTTTTTAAAAATTTCAAAATATGGAAAAAACAAAATAAATTATGCGTGTATAAGCGTTTTCCCGAAAGACTCACCGTTTTTTAAATAACAAATATTGTAATATTTGAGAGGTGGTTTCACCCTCTTGGAATTTGAGATTCGTGAAACCCCTCCTTATCGAACCTCTACACCCCACAGTCAATCCGTTTGCCAAAAATCAGCTTTAAACGTCAAGCAGTTTAAGCAGAATCATGATTACTCAATGCTCATATTTTATGAAACACCCTGTATATATTTTTTAAAAATCTTAAAACATGTAAAACAACAAAATAAAATATACGTGTTTAAGAGTTTTTTTCGAAAAACTCACCAGTTTTTAAATAAAAAATATTCTAATATTTGAGGGTGGTTTCACCCCCTTAGAATTTGAGTTTCGAAAAATCCCTTCTTATCCAACCTCTACACCCTAAAGTCAATCCGTTTTCCAAAAATCAGCTTTTTACGTCAAGGGCTTTAAGCAGGATCGTAATTAATCAATGACTAGATTTTTCAAAACACCCTGTATACATTTTTAAAAAATCTTAAAATATTACTCTGAAAATTTTTCAGAATAAATAAACACCTAAATATTGAAACTTAATAACCAAGTACTGAAACATACAGCGCCATAATATGTCGACCTCCGCCCGTTATGCTCGTACCAGGTTGAAAAACAATGTATCTAAAACAACTGATGCGTTATTCTCCAACCTGTTTCGAACCTCCATCGACAATCGACCGATGCAGCAGCGTTACTTTCCCACTCCGATTATCTCGACCGCCGCTCTGTTATGCTCGTAACAGGTTAAAAAACAACTGATGCGTTATTCTCCAACCCGTTGCGAGCCTCCATCGACAATCGACCGATGCAGCAGCGTTCCTTTCCCACTCCTGTTATCTCGACCGCCAGGCGTTATGCCCGCAACTGTTTCAAAAAAGCTGCTTCTTTTATATCCTATTATTTTTAAGCTGTACTCCGTTGTCCTTTGTATCTCGCCGCCTGTATCGATGGTTGTCGAAATAACATGTTTTCCATCCATACTAGTTGTTTTTTGGAATTGCTTCGAGCAGCATCGAATTTCGTGGCGGTGCAGAGCGCCGACTTCGTTTCACGAACAGTCGATTTCTGCGTGTCGTTATTTTATATTTGTTATTTTTTAAAAGTAGTAACGGTTGCGTTATGTTATTTCTAAATAATTGTTATAAAATTACAGATAGTTAAATAACAACCCATCGCTAAAATTTAATCATAATTGATGTGTTGTGTTGCCATATTATCAAGAAATTATGTTTTTTAACTTAAAACTAAAGAAAAATTCTCTAAATTTTTTCCAAAAATTAAAAAAAATTCTCTAATTTTTTTTTGCAAAAAAAACCTCATAGGCGTTTTTCTGAGGCCGAAATATGCTACCAATCTAAATTTATTTCCTTTATCTATAGTAGTACTTATGTCAGTACTGACAATGTTTCGCCTAGTAAATTCAATAGTATCCAAAATATACTCTAGCGGACTAAAATACTCAATTATTTAAAAACATAGGTTGTATCCAAACAGTATAAAATAAATCCTTGTATGTCATTCGTCCGCAATTAACTTTTAGAGTATTCGCTTCGAAATTCTTAATAAACATCTCACTCATATTCTAAAAGTTGATTTACTGGACTTATAACGTAATATAATATTATTTTTTACTTTATTTCAGATTAGCACTAAGCAGAACTTTGCTTAAAGATTTGACACTGATCGGTCGCGGTGAATTTGGCGATATTCTCATAGCTAAAGTTTCTCACAGCAGTGTGACATTAATACATTCAGAAAAAAGAACGTCAGGTACATCAAATAAAACTGACAAATCTTCTGAAAAGCCGTCAGATGAGAAAGCACAGGAGGATAAAGAACTGCATTGTTTAGTTAAGGTTCTATCTCAAACCAAAGATGAAAGTACTCTAATGGAATTCAAGAGAGAAATAGATATGTTCACTAAACTGTCGCACGAAAATATAACTAAGTTGTTTGGGTTGTGCAGGGAACAAGAACCCCATTATATGATTATGGAACATACTGATTGGGTGAGTACCTCAGTTATACGCTATTTCGAAAACTTGTTTGTAATCATTGAACAAAAAGATCAAGGAAGTGGAAAATCAAAAAATAAGCGGCCCGCGATGGTACTTAAATATGGCGCTAACACACATTCTAGTTTATGTTGTATTTGTTATGGTATACCGATTTGGTCATCGAAACTGTGCGGTCTGGATTTTAACGTGTAAGACAGTGATGTAAACAGCTTCATGGAAAATCAAATGTATTAAAAAGAGATAAAAATTGGATCGACACATTTCTTCTATGCGATATTGCCGGATTTTGCATCAAAATTTCAAACCGCACAAGTAGGCGTTTACGAAAAATGTTGCTGTTGTCTAGGGTTGGAACTTCATTTTTCACTATTAGTTACTCATTTTACTACAGCTGTAATAGATTATATTTAGTTTAGACATATTATCATTAAAGTATACATAAAAGTAGCTTATATTTTTCTACAACCTAAAAAACCGGCAACACTGTATGCCGCTTTTGATTCTGTCTCTCTATCTGTCAACTGATCATTTATATTATTCTCTGTCACACGCTTTAAAATGCAGACCACATAACGTCCTATTGCTGCCAAAAGTCATTAACTGACATTTTTCCGAATAACCTGAAAATTCAATCACTAACTATATTTTGAAGCGGAGAATCGACTGAAAAAGTCAAAACTACGATTTCTGGCTATTTATGCTGTATTTTAATACAGAATAGTCACTAACAACAACTTTATGCAATGTAATTAATCTTTAGACGCGTTTTTCTATGCGTTTTCTCGGAAGTAATAAAAAGTAAGTTAGTGACTTTTGGCAGCAATAGGACGATAAATTGGACGACAAGCAGGGTATGTGTTAAAATCAAAGTAGGGTAGACTCAATAATTTGCTGGTTTTGTTTTGTGTTGAATCAATAAATGTTGTAATACTTATTAAAATTGTTGGAAATTTATATTTCTAATGAAATAAATAAGTTAATATAATTAATAACAAAAATACAAATATTTAACGCTTATTATAGTTGGTTCAACGAGATGATACAGTGACGTCATGTGTCTATGATATGTAATGTTTTTCATTTAAATGCACATGTAAATTGCATTTTCTGTAATTTTTTGGATGTCGTCTGTCCAAATCTTCCCTGACTCGTTGGAGTACACAGGGCGTTTCTTAAACAAGTGAAAATATTTTTAGGGGTAGTATATTTCGATTCCAGAAACACGTCTACGAGATTATTTAAAAAAAATTGAAAATTTTGAATTTTTTGTGATTTTAATTAAAAAACAGCATATCTTCACAATATGCCAATATAAGTAGTAGATTAAATTTAAAAGAAAAAAAAAATCCAGAAAAGCTACAGGTGTTTGCAAAATTTAACCAAAAAATATTTTTTTTCTAAAAATTTTTAAGTAAAATAACTCAGTTATTTTGGAGTTATTTGAAAAACGGTAAAGAGAAAATATGTTTCTTTTAACAAGATCTATTTGCCCTGAAAATATTTGCATTTATTTAAGACTTAACCAGTATAATTACCTAGTAGTGAAGAGTTGTTGCATTATTTTTAATCCTTTTTTTTGCCTGGAATCGGTCGCACGCTGCACAAGTAACTATTTTAAATCCTCTTTCTAAAACTCACATTAATACCATTGTAATTCAAGTCCTGGCATAATGTCTTTCCAGACATACATATACACTTTCTATAAAAGCAATTATAATAAACAAGAAATACAAAGACTTCTACTACTACAGCTAATTTAATTATTTAAATAGTAACGTTGATTTTTTTCTAAATATTACTTAACTATACCACTTTATTTTGTACTTAGGGTGACTTAAAGAAATTCCTAGTTGCTACAAAGACAGGTACCCCACCACCACTGACGACAGTCCAATGTGTCGGTATCATTCACCAATTGTGTAGAGGAATGGACCATTTAGCAAACAACAGAATGGTGCACAAGGATTTAGCCGCCAGGAATTGTTTAGTAACTTCTAGTTTAGTAGTTAAAGTCGGAATACCGAAGCTATCCAGAGACCCTTACAGTCAAGAATACTGTAAACATGTTAATCAGGTAAGTTTTTTCTATTAAATTTTAGTAAGCCAAAGAGATCGCAATAATTGGGATTTTTTTATTATCGAGTTATGCAGAATTTCTTCGGCATGCCCTATATAAAAAAAATTGACATAGAGGACATAGCAGCAAATTACAAACAAAAATCATCTTTCAATATTAGTTTGGGGACAAAATATTCAGCAAGGTCGAAGAGAAAAGTTGTGCAGGATTTGAAATTATGTCTATCTGCCTACTTTCAAAAAATTTAATTTTTGATATTATTCAGAAGATTTTCAAAAATTCGTATTTTTTTTCGTTAAAACTACACAAAATAATTTAAATCCAACGGGGATAATTCCAAATAGAACAGGTTTTTTTCTTTACTATTCTGTAAATAATTGTGAAAAATAAAAAATATATCAATTTTTAAGTTACCAAACTTGTTGCAATGGTTTATAAAACAGAAAATCTTCAACCTAATATATCTATCGTTTTTTCCCTCTAAAAGAAAGTATCAGATTATTTAGAAAGTCTATAGCATGTCTATAGACACCACTGATAATCCATTCACTAGTTGCACTATTTGTCATTTCTGGAAATATGGCGGAAAACACTGAAATTTTCAGTTTTCGTTTTTAATTTCTTTACGAGTTTATTTTAACAGTTAGAAAAAATCTACAAATACATTCTCGAAGAAACTTTTTTAAACTCAAAATCAAAAAAAAATCAAAATTCAAAATACTTAATCAAAAAACTGAAATATTTTTAAGTTCATAAGTCCCTGTATGAACCTTCGCACATAAAAGTTAAGTCGAAGTTGTCTCTTTGAAATTTTTCCATATTTTGTCGCCTAACTCCAGTTTTTTTTAATACGTATAGCAATGACTAAAGAATACAAAAACAAATAACACCCGAGACCAAACTGTGACCACTCTTCCAAACAGTGCGTGGCATATATTTTTCTTAACATGGCCGCTTGAAGCGATATTTATATTTTTGATAAATGTTTTGACTACGCCTATGGTGTATGCGGTGGTATCATACAAATTAATTATATATTAAAACGTATTAAAATGTTAACAAAAGGTACAAAACTAGGATCGATGTATAGTACATATAATATCAGAAAAATAATTATCGAATTCAATAAAAAAAACCGCTAAAAAGGTGGAGTGGAGTTTATTTCCCTATGAAACGTAACTCCTGGCTCTTTCTTATCACTGCGCCTTTTACACTTGAAAGCTGAACAATTTATTCTTATCTCTACCTTATAAAATATATTCCATTCTAATAAAGTTTATACAAAGTTCACTACACACAACAAAGTATTAAAAATTGTCGCTGGTGGCCAGCTGATGACTCAATCGTTCCTTCCAAAAAATGGCGTCTAACGTCACAAATTCTGCTGCAGTCCGTATATGAGCGTTACAGTCCTTGTATTCTTTAGTCATTGATGTATAGAATATTTTTATAATTTGGCCGCCATGAGACAATAATTGTATGTTAAATTATGTTTCTTTTTGTCATATTATATGTTGAAAAAATTCTTTATAAACTTTTTAATAAAAAATTGCATTTTTTGGGAACTTTTTGGCAAACTCAAACTTATTTGTAATGAACATTTTTGAACTGAGATTTAGAAAAAAAGTAATCATAAACTGTAATAACTAAAATCATAATACCTATTTTCTTATCAACCTTTAGGTTATACCACTGAGGTGGTTACCTTATGAAGCTGTTTATGAAGACGAGTATTCAACAAAAAGCGACGTGTATGCGTTTGGTGTGTTCGTTGGGGAAGTGTTTTCACAAGGAGAACTCCCCCATCCAAAGATAAACGATAACACATTCTTGACAAAGCTGAAGGAGAAAAAATTGGAATGGAAATCTCACGAATCAACACCAGAAGACTTACAAAAAATTCAGGTAACACATAATTCTTTGTCAGCGTTATGTATTGGAAGGGGGTCCAAATATGTTTTTCCGGTATTTTAGCATATATTTATTAGGCAAATCAATCTTTGGTACCCCTATTTTTTATTTTACTCCAATTTTATCTTGATTTTATAAAACAAAAACATGAAAATATAAACATTTTAAATTCAAACACATTGTTTTTAGGCTGTAAACAAATTTTGACAGCAATTAACCGTTAAGGAGATATTGTTATTGTATAACAATATCTACTTAACGGTGCACATTAAATATATTTGGTTCACTCAGTTGATATAGTGTATACTTATATATATTACTAGCGTGTACCAGCGACTTCGTTCGCGTCGAATTAATCATTTGTAATGGTGATGATAAAGCAAAGCAAGAATTTCCATTAACATACAAACTGGATAAAATTTTCTGCATGGGAAAAAACAATATGGCGATATTATTATATAACTTGGTAATATTTGAGGGGTAGTTTCATCTCGTTGGAATTTGACTTTCGAAAAATTCGTTTTCCAAAAATATGCTTTTTACGTCCAGCAGTTTAAGCAGAATCGTGGTTAAGAAATTACCCAACTTTTTGGAACACCCTGTATGATTTTTTAAAAAAATTCAAAATATGTAAAAAAAACCAAATAAATTATGCTTGTCCAAGCGTTTTCCCGAAAGACTAACCGTTTTTTAAATAACAAATATTGTAATATTTGAGGGGCGTTTTTACCCTCTTGGAATTTGAGATGCGAGAAACCCCTCCTTATCGAACCTCTACACCCCACAGTCAATCCGTTTGCCAAAAATCAGCTTTAAACGTTAAGCAGTTTAAGCAGAATCGTGATTAATCAATGGTCATATTTTATGAAAGACCCTGTATAAATTTATAAAAAATCTTAAAATATGTAAAACAACAAAATAAAATATACGTATTTAAGAGTTTTTCCGAAAAACTCACCGGTTTTTAAATAAAAAATATTTTAATATTTGAGGGATAGTTTCACCCCCTTAGAATTCGAGTTTCGAAAAATCCCTTCTTATCGAACCTCTACACCCTATCACAAAGTCAATCTGTTTTCCAAAAATCAGCTTTTTGCGTCAAGCGCTTTAAGCAGGATCGTGATTAATCAATGACCAGATTTTTCGAAACACCCTGTATACATTTTTAAAAAATCCTAAAATATGTAGAAAACAAAATAAAATATACATTTAAATAAAAAAATATTGTAATATTTGAGGGGTGGTTTCACCCTCTTGGAACTGGAATTTCGAAAAATCCCTTCTTATCGAACCTCTACACCCTAGAATCAACCTGTATGCCATAATTGATCTTCTTCCGTTGAGTGGTTTGAGCAGGATCGTGATTAATCAGTATGTCAGTCACTTAAGGATTTTATATATTAGTATAGATTGTAGAAACGTTAATATTCTATTTACATATTACAATTTAAATTTGTATTTTACCTTGGGAAAATATCAAAATAAGGTTAATGTTGTAATCACATAATGCAACATAATTAATCTCAATACATACTTTAACAAATTTTATACAATTTATACAATTAAAAAAAACAAGAATTTAACCATATACATATAAAAGAATATACTTATATACAGGTACCGCATAAATTCTTGTCCCAATATTGACGGATAGATATATACCATGGGCAAGTGAATCTTTTACAGGCTAGTTCTTTCATGGATTGAAATGAAACGCTTATAAAGACTAAAGAATACAAGGACATGTAACGCCCATATACGGGCTGCAACAGAATTTGTTGTCATCATTTTGGAGCCTACAGATGAGTCATCACCTCGTCAACAGCGACAATTTTAGCGATTTTTAATAATTTGTTGTGTGTAGTGAAATTTGTATAAACTTTATTACAATTGTGATGTGTTCAGCTTTCAAATGTAAAAGCTGCAACGATAAGAAAGAGCCAGGAGTTGCGTTTCACAAGTAAATAAACAGTCCACTCCACTTTTTTGGCGTTTTCTTATTGAATTTGGTAATTATTTTTCTGATACTATATATGTACTTGATATGTGCTATACGTCGATACTAGTTTTGTACCTTTTGTTAACATTTTAATACGTTTTTTTCGTAATTAATTAGTGTGATACCACCGCCTACACCATAGGCGTAGTCAAAACTTTTATCAAAAATATAGATAACCCTTCAAGCAGCTAAGTTAAGAAAAATATATGGCCACGGCACTGTTTGGTGCCATGGTAACAATTTGGTATCGGGTGTTATATGTCCTTGTATTCTTTAGCCATTGGTCGTTCATCTTTGTATAACCTTAGACTTTTTATAAGTTTCATTTCAATCCATGAAAAAACTAGCCTGTAAAAGATTCATTTGCCCCCCCCCCCCTTTCCACCTCTAATACAGCTGACGCGTTAGTCAAACCGCCCAACTCAATCCCCCCTCGCATTTCAGCGGTTTGACTGGTGGAATGGGAAGCACTGTTTATCTATCTTTATTACACCGTGTATTACCTTAGATTAAGTAGTGTATTACACTACACAGCAGCGCTTCCATCTTTTTCTATCGCACAAAATTTCCGTCTGTAAAGAATCTGTTTGCCGAACTAGTATAATATAAATGCATTTTCCACATAAGTCTAACCTTGTGTTGTCAGAAGTTTTTTTTAACTTGCTCTATGCTGTGAGCACTTTGATTGGACAGATTCAGATCATATGTTTGAAATTGAGGTTACACCCATTCGACCAATATAACATAGCATAAAAAATGTCTATACCTCTGTGGCGGATTCATCTCTCCAAAAAAGTCCTATTTCCTATGCGTATTTCGCCACTGTAAGAGAATCTACAAAATAAAATTAGTTATTTTTTTTAACTGAGACTAATTGTCAGCAGTGGTTTACTAGTAAACAAATTTTCCTAACGGACAAAAAATTCTTAACGTTGAACAGAACGTGAACGGTTTTTGTAGACGTATCTATTTAAAAAGAAACAAAGTATTCTCGAATAGTTAGATATTTTTTAGCATTTAGATATTTTAAATAGTTTTATCTTTATAATAGAAAGAGATATACTTTCTGAAACGTTAAGCATTTTTTTATCCGTTAGGCAATTTTTTTTATTAGTAAACCATTGCTGACAATTAGTTTCCGTTTGATTAACGCAGCAGTGTTTACAAAAAATAACGATTTTATTTTGAAGATTTTCTTACAGTGGCGAAATACCCATAGGACTTTTTTGGAGAGATAAAATAGCATTTCGAAACACACGTATTACTTTAATTTCCTAAACAAGGACAAACCAAACCACACAAACATCATTTTCTCTCCTTCAATACTGGACTATAAATCCTCTCATTACTATCAGGTCGCCGTATATTCTTTTATATGTACATGAATATGACTATAAAATAGAATTACGGCAATATAGAATTAGGTATACGACTCAAAGCTCAAAGTATATTATTCTTTAGTGACGCCCTCTGTACCTTATTCCGTTAAATGCGCATGAGTGACGTCATAATTTTTAGGCGCCTATTTTAACTAGTAAAAAATTATATGGAACTTAATTTCCTCTTTATTCTTTAATTGCGCCCTCTATATGTTTTTTCGTTTTAACAACTTATGAAATACGATTATTTTATTATTTATATAGGAGTCATGCTGGGATTTAAATCCACAAAATCGGCCAACTTTTGCCCAACTATCCAAGGAAATTGGAGAAATTCTGAAGTCGCTGTAAATATAGGTATTTTTATTCAAACTAAGTCACACTAGTTGAGTTTAATTTATCATTAAATAATGTATATGCTTAAGTATATCTATGAATTATCCTCAAAAGTATTTATATTTCCTTTTGTACTCAACTATAAAAAATTACTTGCAAATAATAGGTTATGTACTAGTAGTTTTTAAGGAAAATTAACGAATTATTTAATTAATTAATTGTAGTATCTCAAGAGAGTTATTAATTGTAAGCTTCTAATGAATTTAATACTACAATACGGAAAATAATTGAATTTAGTATGAATGAATATTTATAACATGGTCTATATGTATGACTATTTTTCCTTAATAACTTCGTAATAAAAACTTGCCAAGTGTCGAATTTGCGCGTTTCTTTTGTATAGTTTTTATTTCGATTGATCTCAAGATTTTGTAATATTTTCTGGACTGTGCTAGAAAATCTTCAATTTGTTTCATGCCAAAGATATGGACAAAACAAATAATAATAGTAATACACAGTGTAGAGTCGAAAGAAACTTACGAATTTAATCGATTAATGCTTAAACATATCAGTCTAAAACCTATATATTAATAATTTGACTTTGGTATGCAGCAAATTTATTTTTGTTATATTTAACTTGCACAGTTTTTGGGAGGTTCACAAGACTTATATTATTATTATTATTATTAACGTAATAGTACTTATTTAAGAAACATTGTACATATCAGTTTTTTAAGTTAATAAACATATATATGCTTTTTTCTGTTGAAGAAATGTACTGTGGTGTGGTATCCGTAAGAAAAATATTCCATTACATCAAGTATAAATACGAATTTAAGGTTCCAAATAATGGAATTTTGAATAATTTATTACTATTTTGTTTATTACTACACACAGGGTTTGTCAAAAAGTTCGCAAGAAATGGATAAAAATTTATTAATACTTAAAAAAGGCAGGATTTCTGTAGTAAACTCCATAATAAAATAATTTTGACATTTGCCATGCTAATGTCGGAAAAAGTCAAAGAAAAATTGTTCAGAATTTAATTTTACATCTAGTCTGTCCAACAAGTCAGGGAAGATTTCGACATACGGCATCCAAAAAATGACAGAAAATACAAACAATTTGCATGTGAATTAAATTTTGAGATGGAGCTATACAAAATTCACATAAGTCGGTCCTTTTCGTTCAACAGTTTTGAACTAAGCAAGCGTGAGAAGTGCTTTGCGATTAGTTGATTTATTTCATACTAACCAATATAAGTAGTTTTCCAAGTTTCTATCTACCACGTAAATCAATTTAGCGTCTGACTATTCGCGCCTTTACTTATAAATTTAAATTTAATCTCTGTTGAAATAATACCATTACCAATAAAAAAATAATATATTATTCGTTATGAATATTTAGAGTTTAAAGTAGTGCGCGGGCAGGTGAAAGCGTTCAGAGATGAAGTAGACGAATTAGATCGTTTTATTTGGCGCCTGCGCACGAAAATCCTGTTGAACCGAAAGGACAGACTTATGCAAGATTGATATTCCTATTTCTTTTCTTTGGCTTCACTTCCCACTCATTGTGTAAATGCGGTACTAGCAATATATTCTTATAATACAGGGTTGTTCACCACATACGACACGGAGTATTGTAGCTTAAGATTAGATTTTTACAAATTATAAGTTTTGGGTTCGTTGAAGGGCTATTAGAGCTACAATTTAAAAATAATTTCACAAGATACAGAGTGTCCCAAATAAGTAAAAAATATTATAGTTGTATTTTTTAAATGGAACACCCTGTATATTATTCTATTTTTAGATTCTACCATTGAAATAAAGGTAAAAATTTCATTAAAGTTTATCACACTTAAACCTTACCGTTTTTGAAATATTTTCAATTTCATGAAATTGCAGTAAAAATTTTAAGGCTTCATTCTAATAGAAAATAGGTATGCTATTTGTTGTGAACTCTTTGATACATCCTGTACATATACAAAGAATGGCCATTATAAGTAGTTTAGATTTTTCATTGGTTAGAAGTCACACTAATAAAGAATCAATAAAAGTATATCTTGCAGATAAAAAAAAAGATGTTTTAATGCCAAAGAAATAATAAAATAATTCAGAAAATATGAAAGTATATGTATGACTTTTACTCAATGAAGTGTCTGTATATTTTTTTCATTTAAAAGGTGTTTATGTAAAGCATATCACTCAGATTTAGATTTTGAAGTTAATGTATATTGTGAAGTGAAAAGCCACTGGACACTGCCAAAATACTCTAAAAAATTACTCCATTTGTTGAGACTGACGAAAAATTTACCGAATTGTTTTATAAAAATATACACGCATCCATTAAAAACGATATTTGATTAATATTAGAAATAATTAGTTTATTATGTTACTGTCAACGTTTAGAAATACCGTAAGGCCGAAAAAAACGGCGTCAGACTGAGCTTTGTAATGACAATCGATGATATACTTTCTGTTAGTTATTAAAAAATAACATAACGAATTGTCAAAAATTAATATTTAATTTAGAAAAAAAGGAAAAGTTTACAGATACAAATCTATTTTCAAATAATTATCATTTCAAAAGAACTGTGACGCCGTTTTTTTTCGATATTACGTTCTTTTTTGGAATAAAAAAACTATTTTTTGGTATCAGAAGTTAAAATGAAGTAATATAAAATACTGTTTGGCTTTTTCTCTAGTTTCAAAATTATATTGTATAAAAATTTATAACTGAACTTTATGATCGGGCAATCAATGCTAAAAATAGGCAGGACTTGCTCATTTATTAGCATTGTGTATATAGGTATTTATTATGTATAAAAATAGTTTACGAGTTATTTTTTTTAGGTATATTTTTTAACCCAATAGTTGATTAGTGTATTTACAAAGCGAATAGGTTGTCTGAAAAACGAAATGCATGTAATATTCGATCTTAGATTGTATGTTTAATAAGCACACCGACTTATAATAATTAAATTGTATTAAAAATAATATAAATTATTATTTCAAGACTGTTATTATTATGAGCCAAAAATGCCCACGAAGGAGTAGTACTGTAATAAATATAATAGAGTGCGATATTAGTACATACTATTAGCGATATTTTTTTTAATTTTATTTATTATAACTAAACCATTTTTTATTCAGGGTTGTTTTTATATTAAATATACTGTATGATCGAAAAAAAGTCGTTATGTTTGCATAAAAATGATCATAGATGATATTTCCCATATAATTTTACATATAAAATAACCGCGTCTTCATTTGAAAGCCAACTCTGACAGCGATTTTTTTTTCGATTGTATGAAACCTTATGAAGCAATAAAATTGTAATATTTAAAATTAAATATATACATTATATCAATTTCAAGAATCTTATGAAATTAAATTTAAACGGTTGATTAGAAGTACTAATAATCGTTTTTTACCACATGGAAAAGAAACATCATAGTGGCCTGAAATGGCAATTGATGATTATCTTTTTAAAATAAATTAAAAACAACTGATTGACAATTTTTCAAAAATCTTTAGAATTATTAGATTTTACGTTTATGGACAATGTTTCATAGATATAAAAGGATTTTTAAAAGGATAAGTTTCTCGTTTATTTTTCAACAACTTTTTGGCCCACGCTGTAATGAGGGTTATGATTGTCATTCAGAGGTCACTGTGACGCCGTTTATTTTTCGTATGGAATATTTTCACATTATTAAAAATTTAGGAATCGTTTTTGTTATAAATTAAATGACTTTTTGAAAAAAAATTCTGAAATACAATTAATTCGAATTAATACACTCTATATTATTTTTGTGTTTTCAGTAGTATGTATAATTTTAATAGATATTAAAAGATATTAAGACATTGCATTTTAATATATTGAAGGAGATTATGTACTTTGACTGTTTGATTTCAAACAATATTTACAATATTGAATAATCTGTCCATATTAATAAAATAAAAGTAGATTAGGGATTAATTAATTAATTATTGTTACGTTTAGTAGTAGCTTGGTAGCTTTTTTGTAACTTTAAATGATAGATTTGTAGCGAATGCCTTTTTATATAAATTTCTTGCATAATCATCCTTATTGTGATATGTATTCTAAATTATGATTATATAAATAAATGTGGTATTAACGTAGCGTTTATTTGACTTTCATTTTTTCGACCTCTTTTACGTGTATATGAATAAATGCGAAAAAAATTGAGAAACTAGGGTATTTTAAAATAAGTCTTTTCTTATTACTTCTACCGGATTCGCTTTGTGTTATGTCATTCATAAGAAAAAAAAACAATATTTTTAGATAAAATAAATAACTTGATATTTTTTTAAAGTCCCTGTATATTTATGATACAGCATATTCAATAACAAAACTGATTTTTGTGATATTGAATACGATAAATTTCTGCGTAATTTGTTTTTCAATTAAAAATGTGTATTCTACTGAAATGAAGATAATATACAGGGTAGTCCGAAATGTATTCCTTCCTTTCTTCGGCAGCATATTCTGCAGATAAAAATGAATAAAAATTTCATATAAATATATGTCATAAAATGCTTAGTTTCGGAGATATATAGGGTGTAGGAATTTCATTTTTATTTCGATTTTTTGCAAATAATTTCTGAAATAACGTAAATATTTAGTTGAAAATTGGTATCTAGGAGTTTTTTGACAGGAGAAATTTGATTTTGATGTCACTAGACTCCTATTTGTAGGGGACGCCATCTATTTGTGGTTTAACTGTTTTGAAGAGTAATAGCTTTTCGTCTGTACCTGTATAAAACTACTGACTGAAAAAATATACATTTCCGTTATTTTTTTCCGTAAAAAATATCTCTAGGTAAAAATCGCTACGAGCAACCGTTCTCAAGATATTTAGAATGGAAATAGTCAATACATGTCATTATTCACAAAAAATAAACATGTTGAGTAGATAGTTATTTGACTGAAATAATAAATTTGGGAACTTTTTATTTTTTTAAATTAATGATAAATTTTTCTTGGCTTTTAATAAGTTGGATTTATCTTTACTATAAATAGGAGTCATATTGACATGTAACACCAATTTTCATCCAAATATTGACGTTACTTCAGAAATGATATGGAAAAAATCGCGAAATAAAAATGAAACTTCTAAACCCTGTATCTACGAAACTAAGCATTTTATAGCATATATTTACTTCATATATATTTTTGAACATATATTGAACTTTTTTACTTATTTTATCTGTAGAATTTGCTGCCGAAGTTTCCTATTACAGCTGTAGTAAAACTGGTAACTAATTGTGAAAAATAAAGTTCCAACCCTAGATGCAACATTTTTCATAAACGCCTACTTGTGCGGTTTGAAATTTTGATGCAAAATCCGGTAATACCGCAAAGAAGTAACGTATCAATCCAACTTTTATCTCTTTTTAATACATTTGACCTTCCATTAGGCTATCAGCATCACTGTCTTCCCCGTTAAAATCCAGACCACGCAGTTTCGATGACCAAATCGGTATGTAATCAAACAAAACCAATATTCTTGATTTTTTTCAGAAACAATAATTCACTTTCAGAATTTTGTTCGAAAACAATTCACTCAGAATATTCTACATACCGGGTGTTCTAATTCAATATTAGTAAACGCATTATGCCGCAACTGCACATTCGGCATTTAGCGAACTCCGAGCGCTTGTCAACTACTGAACGTTCGTGATCGGACTTCATCTTTCTATCCACACACGCGGGCATCGCCGAGCAAGCTGTGGCCGAGCTCTGATAGCAACAACATAGAAACGAGCGCTCATTCTCGTCGCTGGTCGAGTCCCCGAACTCCGACTTCCCCAACCACACACATAGGAAATCGGCGAAGCCCCGTTCGGAGATCGCCAAATACCGCATGTGCGGTTGCGGCATTAGAATTACATAGCACTGCTCTGGCAGAACAGTGAGCACATTTTAAAAAGTATAATTTTTCAGGAGAGGCAAAAAGCGAATACGAGTTTTAGGAATACAGAAGTAATGAGGCAACTGCCAGGTAGCGTTAACGAGTGGTTGCACAATTTCGTCATTGTTTTTATCAAATATATTTAAAGATATATTTCTTTTACCGAGGTACGCCAGAAGTGAAAATATTTGAACTTATTTAAAACTCACCCTGTATATTACATAAAATTATGAAATCTAATGGATTTGTTTGGACTAGGAACAAATATAAGATTATTTATATATTTAATTTTATAAATACTTTATTAAAGTCTGGATATTTTTAGTAGGGTGTTCTTCATTAATTAACCTATAATCTAAGGAACACTGGTTCCTTTCATTGTTCATACTCACAGAGTTATAAAGATGAGCCTAAAATATTAGTGGTATTTGATACTAACGACCAAGAAAAGCAGTTGTAATTAATTACTTACTTGTAAAAAAAGTACATCCTTTGCTCTAGAAAAAGCTTCAATCCTCTGAAACCCAGACTTAACCGTTTCCAAAGATTGTGCTGCTTTTATAATGACGTTAGACCGCGCTGCACCATCTAGTTTCGCAGAGTCAGCAATAAGACACTTCGCATACAATAAATTGGCTCTGCTTTTATCATATAGTCCACCATTGGCCAATATTTCTATCATACATTTCGGACTACTTAAAACTTTTAAAGACTGACTTGTTAATCCTAAAAAGTATCTATGTAAGTTTTTACCTTTTCTAAATTATCATGTTACAAAAATAAGTAAACATAAAGGAGGTGTAACATATTTAGGCTCGTGGTTAGTTGTAAAATCATAAAGTCTGTCTAACAAGTCAGGGTAGATTTCGACAGATGTCATCTAAATAAAAAATTGGTCAAGTGCGATTCGGACTCGCGCACGAAGGGTTCCGTACCGTTCATTATCTATACAACATTAGACACTATATTATTATAAACTTTTTTTCCGATTTAGCTGAAATTTTGAATGCGCGTATAAGTAATTTAAAAAAAAATGAAGAAACACGTTACTAAAAATTGTATTCATCAATAATAAATATGTAAAAAGTAAAAATAAATATGTAAAAATATGTAAAAATTAAAAAAAAACATTAAAAAAAGTCGCATTGACTAGGATTCGAACCTGCCTTACTACAGCTCCAAGCAGTCATAGCAGCGCCAGCGTAAAGTCCTAACGCTTTAACCACGCGGCTACCGAGGACTTGAAAGATTCTATGTAAAATTCTTACTTAAAAGATAATGTTTAGTGAAAGTACTTTTTTATTAATAAACATTTATTTAATTCTGTTTTTAGTATTTGTTCTTATAGCGGCAACATTAGATCCATTAATTGTAAAAATTTCAACTGTCTAACTATAAAGGTTCATAAGATAGACCTTTGTGACAGACGGACGGACGGACGGATAGCGAGGTCTTAGTAATAGGGTTCCCGTTTTTACCCTTTGGGTACGGAACCCTAAAAATAACAGATAATACAATGTACCTGCGAATTAAAATGACAATCACAACTGTCACAGTCACGTATCTTCTCATCGGACAGACTATATCTACCTACCTTCCCTGAATATATTAAGGAGTATACAAGTAAATAAATTATAATACTATCCATGTATTCATCGATTTTCAAGATCACCCTGTACTGTCGAAACTAAGGAGGACATTAGACACAGACAATTTTCTTTGAGTATTTCTTTAAAGAAAAAAATAGCTCGAGTTTGTGAAGACCGCAACGTTTTATCTCTACTAATAAGTAAGCTATACATACTCCTCATTTGCAACAACAATTAGACACTGTTATACACAGTTTTTTCTCGTTAAATTAGTGCTATGCATATTATAAATTTGCGTTTAGTTAATATTCCTATAAAATCTGACAACAATTCAAAATGTAATCAAAAAAGTAAAGGTCTTTTTAGACAAATATTTTAGAGCTCCTATTGGTTTATTTATTTCTCCTAGATTATTTCTTACCTAAATGTAGTAATATATGAGCTATATGTAAATAAATTAGAGCTACGTAATATGCTAAGTCTGATTTTTCAGCTTCCACTAGGCAACTGTTTAAGGTTAATACCGCTTTTGAAACATTCGGATAACCACTTGCAAACTGAATTTCGGACATTAAAATATGTGCCCTTAATTTACAAAACTTTCCGTCGCTTAGGTGTTCATTATAGTTATAGTCCTATTAACAGAAAAACATTACAATAAACAGACATACTAAGGGTTGGCAAAGGTTAGTCTTGGGTCGAGATTTCCGTATGTAAGAAGAGTACAATGCGTTTATAATGTACTGAACAAAGAGAGGACAGTAAACACGTTGCTAAACGTATGAAATAAACCGAGAACTGTGCACATTGCTAAGAGACGTGGAAGGGGATATAGCAGATTTCTCGCAGTTGACCGGTCGACCCAATCAATACCTCTGTCAGATTTAATTAATAAAAAATTACACGATTGCTGAAAATTGCTATGCTCTAAAAGTAAATGGATGGATTGTTTACAATTTTTGAATGGAAAAAACAACCTTATCAAATTTTTCTTATGTAAACATATTGTAAAATATCCGATCTTGAAAATAAAAAAAAGTTTCAATATCTACAGTGGTTCTTGAGTTATGGCCTGTTATGTGTTAAAAAGTTGAGTTTTTAAATTATCGTGATTACTGACGTTTTCTCGTTATAAAAAAAATGATACCCTAACGATATCCTTATAATTCCATTTCAGATGCTCAGAAACATTACTTGAAAAAAAAGTCTTTTAAAAATAAGCGGTTTGCGATCGTGATTTTACTTTACTTGATAGGGAAAGGCGTATCGGCAACGCCGCAACAGCACACCGTCGCGCGTCGCGTCGGTCGTTCCCAATTCTCTCACTCCGACTTAATAAGATCCCTATGCGATTTACTTCCACACATGTAAATGCCGACCCAAAAGTAACATTTGCCAGCACGGTATAATAGAATTATAATCAGAGATGCAACAAGTCAGTTTTAAAAAGACTTAATTCTTAAGTCTTAAGTCATTTCTAATATCTCAATGGTTTAAGTCTTAAGTCAAATTCAACATAAAGTTCAAATGATTTAAGTTTAAGTCTGGCTTAAATCATTTTATTTCAAGTCAAGTCATTTTTGTAAAGACTTAAATCAATATAAAGTTATTTAAGTTGTTTTTATTACTTAAGTCTATATTTTTGACTTAAATCATAATGATCTGCAAGTTGTCAGTAAAATGACATAAATGAATATAATTACCCTGAAGTCAAGACAACCAGAATTCAATTTAAGTACCTTTTTTAAATGTTAATATTATTTTTAATTGTGTTAATACAACTAAGAACAATTGCAGAAGATAAGTGGGAAAAATATTTCAGAGACTTATACGCAGAAACAGATGAACCAATGGAAGCACAAGAGACAAGCCAAAGCTATAATATAGAAGATCATGCGCAAATCACTTACAAGCAAGTGGAAGAGACAATAAGGAAACTTAAAAATAGAAAATCTCCTAATGAAGATAAAATATTAAACGAGCTAATAAAAAACGCAGGCACGGCTATCATAGAGGAATACACAAAACTGTTTAACATTATATTACAACATAAGAAAATGCCAGAAGAATGGAAACAAAGTATAACAATACCCATTTTTAAAAAGGGAGATAAAACAGACCCAGCAAATTATAGAGGAATAACATTACTGAGCACCTCGCTAAAACTTCTGACTAAGATCATTGCGGACAAAATCTCCTCAATAGTGCCAATAACCGAGGAACAACAAGGATTCCGAAGAAACCGATCAACTACCGATGCACTATTCATACTCGGGTAACTAGTTGAAAAATCCTTAGAATATAACTCTCCAGCCTATCTATGTTTTATAGATTTAACAAAGGCCTTTGATAGAGTCTAACTAAAAGACATCATCACCATCTTAGAAAGCAGTAATGTCTCGAAAGAACTCACAGAACTTATCAGGGACTTAAACACAAACACAACAACCCAAATTAGAACAAACTTTACCTTAAAACAGCATCTTCGAACTACAACTGGTATTCGCCAAGGCGACAGTCTCAGCCCTCTGTTATTCAACACAATTATGGATCAAGTAATAAAACCGTCAAAAATACTGGATTAGGATATCGAATGGGAATGCATAAAGTAAACATATTATGCTATGCCGATGACGCAGTACTTATTGCAGAGTCAGTGGACGACCTCCAAAGAATGCTATAAGCTTTTAACAGACAGGCAGAAAACTTAACGTGCAAATTTCCACAAATAAGACCAAATGCATGACCAGTACAAAGGAGCCTCTACGGTGCAAATTGGTAATAAAAAACAAAACTATTGATCAGATAAATGTCATTCGAATACCTCGGATGCAAAATTACAAGCTCAGGATTCCTGGAAGAAGAAGTAAGGAAACAAGCTAATAAAGCTGCCGTAATATCAGGACATCTTAAATATCCCATATGGAAAAACAAACATTTGAGTACAGAATGTAAGTCAAGAATATACAAAACCTGCATACGACCAGTGATAACATATGGTGCGGAAACCAGAGCTGAAACATCAGTAACAAAGAGAATCCTACGAACTACTGAAATGAAGACCTTAAGAATGATAACTGGATACACATTGAGGGACAGACAGAGAAATGTAGACATAAGAGAAAAGTGCCAAACAAACAACGTTGTCAGATGGATAAGGCAGAGAAGAAGAGAATGGAACCAGCATGTCAATAGAATGGGCCCCGACAGAATGGCCATAATAATTCGCAACAACGTACCCCATGGCAGAAGACCTACTGGACGACCACCTAAACGTTGGCAAGACAGTTGGCAGTCAACCTCGCAAGAGTTGCTTAGACGAGGAGAAAACCGGAACTAAACAGGCGATACGCCTTTTAAAAGAAGAAGAAGAAGAATATTATTTTTCTTCTATTACCAATTAGCGATTTTCTTACTAGTATCATACTATTAATTTATTGTTGGTACAGATGAGACAAAAACCACATAAAATAAAAGGTTAATTTTCAGATCAACTATAAACGCTTTTTATAAAAATTTTATAAAAAATGTTATTTTTTATAAAATTTAACCAATTTTGTAGTACTTATTACCATTACAGTTTAGATGTTATCGAATACATGTCTATCAAAAAGGGGTGATGTGTTTTGATCACTATGTAATATATCGATGGCATAAGCTGAGAGTTGTAGGATTTTAAAGTACTCTTCAATATATTCGAGATCAATCCCTTTTGTTCGTCTTTCCGGCTACATAACGGAGTCGGGATTCACTTGAAAGACAACAGACTCACTACGCACGCGTAACACGACAAATAATTAAAACCGGTTCCGAAAAACTAACGTTTTATTTGCTAGTGGTCTTGAGCATTGTTTTTTTATTCTGCTGCTTGGCTGCCGCCTAACAATTTAAAAAACTTAAATCTTTTTAATGACAAGTCTTTTATAAAAAGACTTAAATCTTTTTCTATTTTGCAATAAATATTTAAATCACAACTCGTTTTGAAAAATACTTAAATTTTAAGTCCTAAGTCGGCTTTCGGAAAATGACTTAAAATCAATTCATTAAAATGATTTAAAATCAAATCAAGTCATTAAAATGATTTAAATCAAAAAAATACTTAAGTTTTCTGTGAGCTTGCAGCTCTGATTATAATAGATATATTTTTTGAAAATACCTCAAAATATCGATATACAGCTAGGGTTGTTCACCACATACGACAAGGAGTATTGTAGCTATATAAACGATTAGATTTTTACAAATTGTAAGTTTAGGGTTCGTTGAATTAGAGCTACAATTTAAAAATAATTTTACAAGATACAGAGTGTCCCAAAGAAGTAAAAAATATAGAGACATATATTATAGACATTTACATATATTATAGACATTTTAAAAAATATACTTATATTTTTTAAACGGAACACCCTGCATATTATTCTATTTTTAGATTCTACGATTGAAATAAAGGTAAATTTGATTAAGGTTTATCACACTTAAACCTTACCGTTTTTGAAATATTTTCAATTTTGTGAAATTGCAGTAAAAATTTTAAGGATTCATTTCTCCAAGGGTATCAAAGTTTTTAATACTAAATATTTGCTGAAGATTATTTATTAATTTATTAATTAAATTATACTAACTTATACAGAGGATCTAAAAAATTATATTAAATAATTACTAGCTTTAAACGGCAATAACTTGTTTAAATTAAATGGAACACCCTATATATTTTATTAGAATCAGATGCACAATCTAATTGTCTATCAAATTGTATTCTACCATTTTTTACCTATCCCTTCATGTTTTCGTAGAAAATGTATTTTCTTATAATTTAGGCCTCATTTATCACTATACCCATGGAATATTGACATTTTAGATTATTTTTAAAGATGTAACAAATTTTCAAAGAGTACCAGATACTAATATTGTCGATATAGTTCAGTATATTATATTATATATATATATATATATATATATATATATATATATATATATATATATATATATATATATATATATATATATATATATATATATATATATATATATATATATATATATATATATATATATATATATATATATATATATATATATATATATATATATATATATATATAATATATAAAGTACTTATCAATAGAAACTGCATTGAAAAGAAGCAAACGTAAAAGCAGAGAATAGGTACCATTGCAATAAAAAAAAGTAGTCCAACAAAATATGATTTAATCTGCTGGTTTATATTCTTGTGTCAGTGTCACGTAATTTTTAAAAAATGCCTTTAACTTTAGAGCATAAATCGATTATATTTACGCGCTTAAGGGATGGGGTTCCCATAAGGGACATTGCAGATGCATTAGGGATAAACAAAAAAACAGTGTTGTTGGCTAAATCCAAAATTCAATATATAAAGAATATAATTCAAATATCTTTATAGACCAGGAGTTCTATCTGGGACTACTAATTCTTGTACTACTTTTTTTTATCGCAATAGTACATTAAGAATGTAGTCATTAAAAACTGAAAAAAAAACTGTTTAAATATTTTTTGTTAAAGAGGACCAATTAATATGATCCCAGTATTCAAACTACATTAATTGACTGTTTACGTTGATTAATAATAATTGCTCCAAATACTAAAAAACTGAATTTCGTATGTGTATTAGACAGTGTGGTAAAAAGTAATACCTTATAAATTTTATTTCATTTTTTGTCGAATGTTTATTTATAACAGAGTCGATCATTTTCATAACTTATTATTATATTGATTTGTGAGTCAAATCTACATTTATTTAGATTAATGTATTAATTAAAACAATTAAGTATGTAATAAACTAATTTTTGGACGGAAATAATGGTGGTATATTTAATTGGCATACTCTTACAAATATTTAAATAGTTTTCTTTTTGTAAACAAATGGGCTTAAAATATTATTATTTTTTTCCACCTGTACATTTTGTACATAATATATTGCTTTAAAAAAAATCTAAAATGTCAACATTCCATGGGTATAGTGATAATTGAGGTCTAATTATAAGAAAATGCATTTTATACCATTACTTGAAGAGATAGGTAAAAAATGGTATAATACTATTTAATTGACAATTAAATTGTGCATCTAACTAACTTAAAATATACAGGGTGTTCTATTTAAATTAAACAAGTTATTGCCGTTTAAAGCTAATAATATTTTAATATAAATTTTTAGACACTCTGTATTAGGGTTCCCAACTTGAGCATCGGCGATTCCGGGACATTTATTTTTAAGCTTTTAAATAATTGAAGCAAGACATTAAATATTAGAAAATAAAATATATTATGTGTGTAGTACACATTTTTTTAATTTCCAGGTCCCGGCCAAGGCAAAACTTTCGCCGGGACAAACTTTCTGATTCCTGGTTAATCCCGGCCAAACCGGGACGGTTGGGAACTCGTTGTAGCTCTGTATAAGGTAGTATAATTTTTATTATTGCAACACAATATCTGATCAATAAATAAACTTCAGTAAATATTTAGTATTAAAAACTTTGATGCCCTTGGAGAAATGAAGCCTTAATAACATTCTTACTGTAATTTCACAAAATTGAAAATATTTCAAAAACGGTAAGGTTTAAGTATGATAAACCTTATCAAAGTTGCCTTTATTTTAATCGTAGAAACTAAAAATGTAATAATACAGGGCGTTCCATTTAAAAAAATACATCTTTGATATTTTTTATTTACTTGAGACACTCTATATATTGTAAAAACATTTTTAAATTGTAGATCTTCTTCAACGAACCCAAAACTTACAATTTGCAAAAATCTAATCGTTTAGCTACAATACTCCGTGTCGTACGTGGTGAACAACCATGTATAGTCACAAAATACCTTTGAATAAAGCGGAATACCTTAGCTATATCCTTTTAATTATGTTGTCACAGATTTTAATTTCTACATAAAATATAAAAAATAATATCAGTAAAAGGAGCAAATATCAGAAAATACATTAAATTTTTACAGTATTTATCAACAGAAAACAGTGCACTATAAGAGTTTTACTAATTATTCGAAAAGGCAGTTATTTTTGCTTTTCAGAAAATGTTTTTACACATAAAAAATCGTTTTTACATTACAGCCTTTTACATGTTTATCCCTTTTGGGTGACCCAACCCAAAAGGTATTAGCATGTAAAAATCTGTAATGTAAAAAATATTTTTATGTCCCATATGAGATAATGAGAGTGAAGACCCATCTGAAATAATACTCCTTATCTATACCCTCCATAAGCTAATCAAAATTTGACAACCCACCCTATTAAAATTATAACCTAAAAATATGACAAATAAACTGACTTCAAATTTGGTCCACGAAAAAATCGTCCGTGTCCCTGCTCTATGACTAGGTAATTCTGTGACATAGCTGGGTTATATTTATCCTGTTTTTCCTCCTTTTATACTTACTTGGAATATCGTATTTATACACTTATCAGCTTCCTCGTATTCCTGCTGGTAAAGGTATAATTCTGCCAACTTTAAATATCCCTCCCACTTATCCAAGACGACGATCTTTTGAGCAGCCGATTCAGCCCCAAGCCAGTCTTCATTATAGAGAGCTTTAGTATACACCACCCAATTCTCAACAAGCATCCATATTTTTGATAAAGGTTCATTTGGATATCTCCTTTTAGCATAAAGCAGAAGAGCATTGACTAAATTATACTCACCCTAAAAGTATCTTTTCGATAATATACATAGTTCAATGAAAATATACGTCACGGTGGCCTTTGAAATAACCAGTGACGATAATTACTGTGGAGCCCATCGCCATATATCATTTATTAAAGATTGTCATAAAAATTTACATTAAAAATTTATATTTAAATGAAAGAAAGTAAAAAGTTTCAAGAATTCAAAGGCTACCATGACGTCTTTTTATCGATATTTTAGACTCGTATAATGAATTATATTAGATTAAATTATATACCTATTATTACCTATTATATTAAATTACCTATTACCTATTAGATTAAATTATATACCTGTAACAATAAATTAAGTGCAATATTACATAAGGCTTGTAAATAGCCTTCACCATAATGAGTTGTAGTTGGAGCTTCGTTAGTATCCAAATTCAAATACAATAGCGTTTGACACCAAAGTGAATTCATTTCAGTTTTGCCATATAAACGCCACAGAGCTGCTTTCATAGTATTGATATTGAACATCAGATCTTTGTAATTGTGTTGACAATTCAACATATCACTCTTTGTAAAGGTCTAGAAAAATAGGATTTTCAATCAGTACTCAAAAAATTGCAAAATAAAATTTGAAAAGCTATTAAATTAAAATGACAACAGCCACAGTCTCACAATTAATGTAATTGAATAAAAAGAGTAAGTCAAGGGAAAATGTCAACAAAAATTGCGCGACCATGAAGGTACAACTTGTAAATTCCAGTTTTGCAGTGGTTGTTTAATTCTTTTAAACCTAATAAAATATAAAAGGAGGATAGATTCAATATGTTTTACGTTGAGTCAAATAAATGTTATTAGTTATTATAGTTGCTAAAAATATATGTTTCTGTTTAACAAAATAGAGATACTGAAACAACCAAGTAAAATTCATAAAACTGATTTATCCCAATTATTTTTGACAAGTAGTAAATAAATGCGAATATGCAAAAATAAAAAGGTAGTTAGTTAACGAATTTCATAATTTAATAGTTACTACTCATAACTAGCGTCTCCAATTTTCAAGATCGGGATCCCCGGATCCCAGAACTGACTCTCAGAATGAGAAATCTAATTTAAAAAATACTTAATAAAAATGTAGCTACATATATTAAAAGGAAAATGAGAAAAGAGTTTTATTAAAATAGACTAAACAAAGTAACATTCATTTAGTAAGTAAAAAAATTGAATTCTCGTTGCAAAAAATAAAATACAGCAAATACGGAAATATAAATTTTAGATATTGATGTTCTGCTTAGTATAAATAAAACACAGTCTTAGAAAAACTAAAGTGTATAAAGTCTAATCATTTTAGATTGGGCTTTTAAATTTTTCGATATTTTCGGGATCCCGGGATTTATTATAGCGATTTCGGCGATAAATATACACAGGGATTTCGGAATCCCAGTTTCATAACATTTATAATTATGTACTAGTGAAAAGTTGTTCATTGAAAAAATATTATTCAGAATGTTTTGTCTGGAAACGATTGTTACGCTGCACAAGTAACTATTTTTGAAGCCCCATCTAAGATTCACAAAAATCCCAATGAAATTCAAGCCCTGTCACAATGCCCTTTTAGATGTATATTGGGTGGTGACAATTTCGATGCTCAACATTGGCATCTCAGAAACTACAAGAGATACGAATTCGGCAAATGGGACAAAAGTTGCGTAATTAGAAGTTTGACAAACACCTATGAAGAAAACCCCGATATCTTGATTAGTTTCGCATTTACGTCAAAAAAATGAAAATAATACGTCTATTTTAAATGGCAATATCTTCAAAACTGTTGTATCTATTGCAATGTACGTTGGTAGTTTTATATTTTTAACCTCGGCCAATTAAATGCCGTCAGGAAATTTCTAAGCCTTCTAGATTTCGTAAACAGTCAAGTTTTTGTTTTCTTATGGCCGCCATTTTGAATTTTTATACTATTAGCTCAGATTAGGTATCCTATAAGTATACAGATAAAAATCTTGGCCCTAATTCGTGGTACGAAAATTGTTTTTTATGACGATGTGCAAACGAGTCAAATTTCCTGTGCGCAAAAATAAACTCGCATAAAATAACAACAAACAGCGTAATAGAGAGATATCGCTAAACCGAATAGCGTGCATGGACGTTAATAAGGCCAGGTGTTATTTCCTTGACGTGAGGTGGTATTAACTCTCTTCATTTATAGTCTTCTGATCGCGTCGCGTCCGCTATTTAAACTTAAGCTAACTTTGAATTTAAAACTTTGAAATTGTTTTGTTTACTAGGTATTTTAAAACTAAAGGGCTAAAGTGCTTATTTCCAGTGCTTTATTGTTTAACGTCTGCCAGTGGGTTTAGGGCAACAAGCAACAAATTCTCTGAGAAGGGCTAAAGCTTGATTTTCATGCATCCGTTGTCCGACGATACGATGATACGATATTAATTTTATTGGTTGAATTTAAAGACTTTGATTGGTTAGAAAATAACGCAGTTTTTAAATTTATTGCATTTTCAAGCCTCCGTTTAACGGATATACGTTGGTGTCATTTTATATTTTCGTTTCCATAACGATTTTGCTATTTTACTTATATTTTTATTAAGGTTAGATTAAATTTGTCAAAAAAGTGTCAAAACGTCCGTTATCGTATGAACGGGTCCGTTGACGAGCTGCAGTAAAATATTTACGGATGAAAAGTGGCGCGAAAACGCTATGACCAATCAGAGCACCGTCGGACCATCGTATCAACGTATAACGGATGCATGAAAATCAAGCTTAAAGCCGGAGTCTCATGTATCCGAAATCCGATGACACGACGATCCGACGGTGCTCCCATTGGTCGAAATATTTTTACACCAATTTTTATCCGATATTTTTAACTACTCGTCCGACGTCGTATAAAGTTAAATTTTGTTTAACTTTTGTACGATATCGTGTTTTAACCTCACTTGAAACTGATGACACGACGATCCGACGGTGCTCCCATTGGTCGAAATATTTTTACACCAATTTTTATCCGATATTTTTAACTACTGTCCGACGTCGTATAAAGTTAAATTTTGTTTAACTTTTGTACGATATCGTGTTTTTAACCTCACTTTTTTGAAAATATTTGTTCTTAAAAACAAGTTTAGTGGGAAGTGGGCAATTTCGGATATTTGGCGAGGAAGTTATTTTTATAAGTTTTTCTCCAATAATACATGTAATAATGTTGATACTGTTGATAGGAATGACAGGTCTAAATGTCAAAACTGTCAAATTTCGGAACGAACTTTCGGATGTATGTGACAGGCTTTTTTTATTTCAAAGGATAACTCAAGGGATAACTTCAAATTTCGGATGTCGTACCATCGGATTTCGGCACAAAATATCCCCCTTTAGAACTTTTTCTTTAATGGCCATAAGCGGGAGTTAAAGCCCAACCGCCCGAACAAACACTAGAGGCGCCACCGGTCATCAAATGGTGTAAAAATTGCGAAAAGTTAATCATCTAATTTTGACACAAGGGTCGCGCGCTTACCTTTTTCAATTTTAATTCAATATTCATTGTTTTCAAAACTATATTATTAGGGACTTTGTTGTATTTTGTAAATGTATAAATGTTTTCTTTAGTATAAAGTTGCATTATAGTAATTTGAATTATATTACATACATATTTAAGATTCAAATATTATATATATGTCCAGTTGCCATGTCTAAAATGTCATCTTCATTTCAAAAGTTAGTTATTGTCAAAGTAGTTAAAATGTTAAAATATTAAAATTTACAAGTTATAATTAGATATTTTATATTATTTCAAACAACAAAACACATAATAGTACACCGTAACAAGTTGATATGCACGTCGAAAAAAAAAAAGCCGTTATATTTTCAGTTTCGTTGTCAGCCGCGGAAGTTTTAGTGATTTTAGTGTTTGTTCGGATATTTTTATTTGTGAAATAGAAATATATAGCGTTTGGATTGCAAAACTAAAGTGGAAGTTTTATTGCAATGTAAGTAAGCTGCTTGTCTATTTTATATTTTACTTTTTTTTCATACCTACGACAAATATACATATATATTGAAATTTTATAATCTGTTTTATTTAAAAAATGTTAGAAAAACAAGCTTATAATCCTGTAATTGACATAATTGTTATGTAATATATTCCATTTAAATGTAATATATTACTTTTACAATTAAAAAAATGTAAATTTAAAAAAATATATTAAAAATATAAATAGGCATTAATTGAAATTTTTTGAGTGCGAACAAACACGAGAGGCGCTTTATTATTTACTTTCATTTCTTAACATGACAGACCAAGTTCTAAAGGGGGATGTTTTGTGGATTTCGGATGCATGAGACTCCGGCTTAAGTCGTCATCTGCTGTAAACCTCAGACTCTTTATAGGTTCTTTAGTATTGGAAGAGGTGGAATCCATATTTTGGGCCATATTTATTTAATTAAAACTAACCCTAGCTACTTAAATATCAAATTACCTAATAAAACTAAAGCAATAATTCATAACAATTCAAACATAACCTAAAATAAAAGATCTCGCCGGCCGGCTCCGGTTGTCAAATACCCGCACATGCCCATTTAAGCAATTTTTAAACGTTATCAGAAGTTATTTAGAAAGAATGCTTGGTGTAATTGATCCGCAAATTACGTCAGGCGGTAACGTTATTAGCGGGTGTTGCGTTAAAAATTGACTCGCGCATATCGTAACCATGATAAGGTAATTATGACATTCACCATGTTGAAATTGCAACATTTTTTAGAAAGCTGCGACCATTGAAAATAGTTAGCCTTAGTAACCCTTATTACCATACTAAAAGTCCCCATTTGTCCGATGTGTGCGTCACCAAAAAAAATCGGCCGTCATCTTGAATCTTGAATTTTGGTACTTTTTGGGAAAAAATGTAAATAACTCGAAAACGGTTTGTTATAGTGAAAAACTTCAAGAGGTAAAAATTAAAGAGAATAAAAAACTCTATTAGAATCAATAAAAAATAGTTTATTATCCTAACGCAATGACGTACAAAAAAAAAATTTGAAAATCGAGCAATTTTTAAAAGGAATCACCGAAATGCAAATTACTAATTTTTTAAGCTTATTAACAAATAACATGGACATTTAGCATCAATTCAACTGAAATACAATCCTTGTGACATTTTCAAAAAATATTTTTTATTGGTGGGTTAATAATATTTCAAAATTAACAAAAATTGTAAATACTATCCTTTACTAATACATGTGTACGAATAATGCGAAAGCAGTCTTAGTCCCGGTCGGGGCTATTTGCACTTAAACCAAGGTCTTATTGTTACCATTTTGTAAACAACTTGTTTTTAAAAATACAGTGACAGTTTGAAAAATTAGGCTACAGGTTGGAAGAAAAAAATTAAATGTAATGTAAACTGGCGACTTTCAAAACGTTGCAAAAAGATCCTCATCTGCGACAAATTACATCCGTTTTTTTTAGATCCTGCAGCACAAAAATCTGAGCTAGTCGAAGCTGGAAATACATTCTTATTTTTATTTTATAGTCGACATAGGCTAGCAAAAGATTTAGATCAGTTGAGGTATTTTAAATATAAAGCCCTTACATCTCGTCAGGTACTTATAGTAAAAATTTTGATTAAGCTACCTTACCTCCAACAACTAACGCAGCTGAAAATCATTATTATAGGACCTATTTATAAATGCAGTATTGGCTAAATAACGGAGAAGAGGCAACAGAATGTGGATGGAGTAAAAACGGATACCTTAATTCCAAAAACAATGTCAAACGCAGTGGAACCAGAATTTGTATTGAAAATGCGGTACTTTAATTGCAAATCTGAACAAATAAATATGTACCGTCGATGAAGAACAAATCGAATAAGAATTGTAGTCCCAGATGGAACTTTTGGTCTATAGAGGATAGTTTGAATTATATTGAATTTTTTTTTGGATTTAGCCAACAACACTGTTTTTTTTGTTTATCCCTAATGCATCTGCAATGTCTCTATGGGAACCCCATCCCTTAATCGCGTAAATATAATTGATTTTTTGCTCTGAAGTTAAAGGCATTTTTTAAAAATTACGTGACACTGACCAGATTAAATCATATTTTTGTTGTACTATTTTTTTAGTCGCAATGGTACATGTTTAAAATCCAATATGCCATGTTCATGCTTGTGTGGTAACTGTAATGGTATTTCTTGCGAGAACAAATAAATATCGGTCGATGAAGAACAAATCGAATAAAAGGGTATGTTTATAATGTATTTTTCAGAGATGACAGTGTTAAGATCTTAGGTTAAGTTGGTAACACATTTTTATTAAAATGGTCATAGCTTATGACATTTTATTTTTCGACTTCCAACCTGTTTATAATGTATTTATCATAATGAAACTGTTACCATCTTAGTCGCAGATCGAGATGATATTTATGTCAAAAAAGACAGTCGCAAGTTTACATTACATTTTATTTTTTTCTTCCAACCTGAAGCCTAATTTTTCAAACTGTCACTGTATTTTTAAAAACAAGTTGTTTACAAAATGGTAACAAAAAGACCTTGGTTTAAGTGCAAATAGCCCCGACCGGAACAAGGTGGAGGCTGCTGTCGCACATTACTAGTACACATGTATTTAGTAAAGAATAGCTTTGACAATTTTTGTTAATTTTGAAATATTATTAAACCACCAATAAATATTTCTTGAAAATGTCACAAGGACTGTATTTTACTTGAATTGATGCTAAATATTCATGTTATTTGTTATTAAGCTTAAAAAATAGTAATTTGCATTTCGGTGATTCTTTTTAAAAATTGCTCGATTTTCAAAAAAAATTGTAAGTACGTCACTGCGTTAGGATAATAAACTATTCTTTATTGATTCTGATAGGGTTTTTTTATTCTCTTTAATTTTTACCTCTTGAAGTTTTTCGCTATAACGCACCGTTTTCGAGTTATTTACATTTTTTCCCAAAAAGTACCAACATTCAAGATGGCGGCCGATTTTTTTTGATGACGCACACATCGGATAAATGGGGACTTTTAGTATGTTAATAAGGGTTACTAAGGCTAACTATTTTCAATGGTCGCAGCTTTCTAAACATTTTTGCAAATTCAAAATTATTTGCACTGGCCTAATGACGCTATTCGGTTTTCCGATATCTCTCTAATAACTGTGCCGGTCAGGCGCTTTGCACAATTTTAGAGGCCATAAGTGGGCGTGCAATGTGCGCAAACTAGTCACCTAACTAGTGCCCGATTCCGAAAATTGGAACCACGAAAAACAATAAAGAAAAAACAAAGATTGTAATCTGTATAATCTGTGCTATTAGATAGAGCAAAAAATAATCTATACGTTGGTATCTAACTTTGATTTATTATCATGTAAATTCACTAAAAAAATTAGATTTTTTAAAAATTCGCTCAAAAGATCCAGTCTGCCTTGGAAATCCAATTGACACTTTATATAACAGCAAGTTAATTTTTGTTTACTCTATTAAATATCAAATCTGGATACAAACATTTATAGTAGATAGTGTAAAGTGTATAAAGCTAGTATAAAGTGTAACAGTCAACAATATGTTCACAAGTGAGGAAACACAGAGATATGTATGATGTTTACTTAAAAAGTAATAGAAATTCCGATATAGCATCTTGCGCAAGTTATCGAACATTGAAAGTTGAAAACCTGAAAGGACACAGCCTCATCGAACTATTTTCGCCAGGATTTCAAGAAATTTAGCAGTTGCTGGTAGCTTTAAAAAACAAGAGGGCAATATTTTAAAAAGCTTAATGATATTAATGTGCCAACTCAGATTGAAATAAATCCGGAAACTTCTAGCCATAAAATAAGTCGCGAGTGTTGTATAAGTGATTCTTATGTAAGGAAAATTATCAAAAACATAAATATCACAACTTTAAATTTAAATAGGTACCAAATTTACATTTTTTTACATGCTGGTGATCACGAGAGAAGTTTACAATTTTGCAAATCGTTTCGGAAAAGTGAGTCAAGAGAGCCCTTTTTTTCCCACAAAAATATTATGGAGGCATGAATCTTTATTTACAAATTCTGTGTATTGTGCGTGTGTATTGTGCAAAAGAAAATCCTTATTTAATTAGAGAAACCAGACTACAAGTAAGATATTCTTTGAACGTCTGGGCTGGCATTCTTGACAATAAAATTTTAGGTTCTGTATTGACCTGTATTGAACTCTACTATACAATTTTTGTGCGTCCATATTTGACACTTAATAGAATAAACAAAAAATAACTAGCTAACATATAAAGTGTCAAATGGATTTCCAAGGCATACTTGATTTTAGGCGAATTTTTAAAAAATCTATTTTTTTTAATGAATTTACACAATAATTAATAAAAATTAAATACCTATAATATATAGACTTTTTTTCGCTCTATCTAATAGTATAAAAATTCAAAATGGCGGCCATAAGAAAATAAAAACTTGACTGTTGTGCGAAATATAAAAGGATAAGAAATTTTCTGAAAACGGCATTTAATTGGTCGAAAAATATAAAACTACCAACTTATGTTGCAATATGTACAGCTGGTTCCAATAAAATTGAATACGATTTAAAACATATTTTTATTATTTCAGGCAGTATATTCTATACCAGCATTTCTCTACTCATGTCATGCTGAGATTCTAAAAAATTTATTTGCCACTTTGGCAAAAGCAAAGTTGTTTTATTCAGTGTCACAATAACCTTAACATGTCAAAATACTTGACACATAAATATACACTGCTCAAATATTGGAAAAAAATGTGTAAAGAGTTGTATTAATTTTTTTTGGAACCAGCTGTACAATAGTTCTGAAGATATTGTGATTTAAAATAAACGTACTATTTTCATTTTTTTGACATAAATCCGAAACTAATCAAGATACCGGGATTTTCTTCATAGGTGTTTGTCAAACTTCTAATTACGCAACTTTTTTTCCCATTTAACCGAATTCGTATCTCTCGTAGATTCTGAGATGCCAATGTTGAGCATCGAAATTGTCACCACCCTGTATACTTTTCATAAAACCAAGTACAAATAAAATAAACAAGAAATAACATAAAATAAACCCATAAAATCGCAGCAAACTCGTAAAAAATAAAATCAAATGTGCCAAGTAAAACATCAAATAAAACTGAGAAAAGATATTTCTATGACGTTGCGCTTTCGTCTCTAATGCATGAATATAAAAAAGAGACTCTTTCCTTAGTCCTTTTGTTCAAAAGCATGATGTCAAAAGATGATTCATTTACCGGCACGGTCAATGGTAATATATAATTTTTTTTTCAAATGTCACAAAAGTATTAATTTTTGCGACGTGATTGACAACATAAAAAAGTCATTTTAACGCCTATGCATAAAAGTAAAGCACACGCCTAAGCATAAAAGTACGAAAATATATTATTAAACTGACACAAATTGTCAAATTCAATGAACATAATCATAGTTTCTCGATATTAGATTTGGTTATCAGTTTTAAATATTTTTATATTATTTGGAACATTTAAAATTGTTCAAAAAGGTATTTGTGACGTTTTAAAGAAGATAGTATGTTCTATTCTGAGTAAAAATGACTTTTTGTGCCTCGCTGTAACAAGGTGACCTACCGTCCCGATTTGGCCAGGACAGGTCACAGTTTTCGATAAGTCATACAGAAATAAAAATGCTTCCCGGAATGTCCCGTTTGTGTTCTTATTTGTACCAGTTGTCACGAATTCAAAGAATTTTCAAAAACAGTGACAACACTGCAAATTAAATTGTCCGATTGTCCGTTTCTTGCGCTCTGGAGCGGACCAGACCGGAACTAAGATTTGTGAATTTTATGATTCGGTTTCAAAAGCCTCACTAAATTGCCGCCATGCCATCTTACGACAAAATAGGAAAGCAATATTCATCTCGGCAGACAGGTGTCAAAGATTTCGGGATTTCTACGCACAAGAAGAGTTTTTTTGGTTCTGAATTCTGACTATAAAATATCGTCTACCGACAAAGTCGACAACTGCTGCGGGCTGTGTTAACTGTGTAACAAATTTAGAATGTTATAAGGTTTTACTTCATAATGAAATGGCATTAAATTCCATTAGTTCTCAATCAAAATACAAATTCAAGTAAAAAGTGCAGGGTACATTGTATTTGTTTAATGTAAGAATTTTTATTTTAGTTTATTAAAGTTAATAATTAAAGTTAAGGCCTAACCTGAATGTAGAGTAGATGTATGTACTTGTATGTATTAAGACAAATTAGAAAATAAATTACTATTTATCTTTTTTTCAAGATTTTCATTAAAATGTCCCGATTTTATACTTTAGAAAATTGGTCACGTTGCCTGTAATGTCGTAAGCCCTTCCGTCAAACGTACAACGCCACAGAAAGTATCATTTTTACTTCTAAAAAACAATATACTATTAGATACTCACCTCAAAAATGACTCTGGGTTTTACAGAAGTTTTTGCAGAACCATAATGTGCAAAATTCTGTAATGCTAAAGATGTTGTATAGCTTATATTAAGTTCAAGAGTCTTAATTATGCACTGCACAATTAAATTATCTTTGTTCACATTTGATAAACGATATAACCATGATAATGCATGTTGTAGACAAAGACTATCATTAGCTTCATGAGCTATTTTTATAGATTCCTTTAGAGAAGCTAATGCTTCCTTCCTAAAAGAAATCATACATAAATTCAAAAGGTGAAATTCAATTACTTTTATAAATATTAAAATTAATAAGGAAATAAAAACTCATACTTAGTTAAATTTTTAAATAATAGATTTCAATTTTAAAAAAATACCTATTCCTTACATGTGGCCAAAATGATAATGTAATATAGCCAAATTCAAGGCAGCGTATCTATGTTCCCTACTCTTTTCATCACTGAAATATTTTACATCAGTATTTGCTCTTCTATCAAAGCAGTGAAACAAACTTTGCATAGCCCCACAAAATTCTTCCACTCTCAAGTAATTCAAAAATGATAAGAAGTGCTGCAAATCAAAATGGTTATTAATTTAATATGTAGTTTTTAATAATATACAAAACAAAACTAACAAAACAAGTCTGATATTAACCAACTAGAAAAACTTTGCCATGATAGGACAGTTATATTTCTTAAGTCTAATTTTTGAACACCTTGTACTTATATTAGTTATTGCCTGTGGAAATACTGTACTGCTCAAAAATATTACAGTATTTGTATATAATTAGTTTATAAGATTATTATTCAAGATATATAATTTTTAAACTATGTACAATTATTGTTTACTACTGAATATAGAAGCAGAAATAGAAGAATGTCACTATTATGGCTTTAATTCAAGTAAAAGACTCAAAAATCTGAATTAGAAATATAATGATATTCTTATATACTAATAACTTATATGAGGGATAAGCAAAAATATCAAAATACTCACTGCTTCTGCCAAATCTGGGTTTGAGTTTAATATACTTGATATTTTGGATTGCAAATCTTGTGGCTCTAAAGCTTTGCATTCATCATGTTGTAACAGAGCAGCTTGTGTAGCCAAGAAAAGCTCAGCTTGTCTTCTGGACCACTGTTTTTCATCAATATACCTATTTACAGATTGTATTTTAATTCTAATAAAATTATATATATTTTAATCTTACCATTCATCTATTTTTGTAGTGCTTATGACTGTCGATGATATCCCATTTTTCCAGTCCTTATAATATCTTAAAAATGCTTGATATAAACTTAACACTTCTGAGAAATTTAACTTTTCAAAATACACTATAAATCTTCTTAAAAAGAAACCTAAAATAGTTTCTTTTCTTTGAATACAAAACATAGATGTTGAGTTAATTTTACCTATTACACTATTTTTCCAAATAATATTAGAAAACAGTACACTCTTTTCAGACACGTTAAGATCAGCATTCATAATTTGTTTTACTTCATCTACAATATCTAGTAAATATCCTATACTATTGCTATAAATTTCCTCTAAATGTTTGTCAAACTTTTCAAATACCGGAAGAAGAACTTCCAAAGGAGTTAACAAACTTTTTAACTCATTAAGTTTTAAATCAGGACCCTGTAAAATCTTTAATGATAATATACAGAAAGATTTCCGAAATTTCACTTTTTCAGTTATTGACAAATTATCAAGTTCGCCTAAAAATAAAAAATATATATCACAGCTTTATATTTTAGAATATAACAATTACCTGAATCCTTAAATTGGCAATAGCTCTTTATTAAAATTACAATGGTGAGTTTATAAGGTGTAACCAATTCTTGATGAATTTTCTTTGAACTTCCATAACTCTCTTTGATAGTTATTGTTGTAGAGGACATAATTTATAAAAATTAATACAGAGAAATCGTAACAAAAGTTCGTACGGGAATTTAAAACCACAGTTTCTTTTCAAATTTTGAGGTTGTATTTATTTTTATCATATTCTTTTAGTTCACTTGGTTTAGCCATAGATTTAAATTCTGTCAGTAGTTCTAATAAACCACTAATTACATCATATATAAATATATGAAATTGTCCAAGTTTGTTTATACCGCTAACAAGATTTTTGCAAATATAAAATTAAAATATAATCCAAAATGGTAAGAAAACATATATTTATTGTTCTTGCATATTATTCCATTGTAATTTTTAGTTATTTTATTCGTTTTTTAAATCCTTAGTTGGAAAGGACGTGGTTGTGGAATTAAAAAATGATTTGAGGTTAGTCGAACTGTGTTTTATTATTGGTTTTATTAAACTTTTTCCTGATTATTATTGTTTTTTTAGTATTTGTGGCACTCTTCATTCAGTTGACCAATACTTAAATATTAAACTAACAGATATAAGTGTAACCGATACAGAAAAATATCCACACATGGTAAATATTGATGTTTTGTATTATCAACAATATCATTTTACTTTTAAATAATTTCTAACATGTATATCTTGTTTAGCTTTCAGTAAAGAATTGTTTTATAAGAGGATCAGTGGTACGGTATGTTCAGTTACCAGCAGATGAAGTAGATACTCAGTTACTACAAGACTCGGCTCGTAAGGAGGCTTCGGCACCTACAAGATAACTTTTTATTGTATATTTTCTTTTTCGGACCATTATTTCTTATGTTTTAAGAAAACATTTAGTATGTAACGGGTAAACATTGGTTAAAAAATACCCAGTTATGAAATATAAGTTGTATGTGTGATAACAATAATTTTTAAATATATTTCTTAATTTATATCACTTTCTCTGAATATTTTTGTTAATAAAATTATTTCAATATAAGCATGTACTCTTTATCGTTTGGTTTTATTGAAACTAAATTTTTAAGGTACATTTTTAATATTATAAGATGGGAATGTGGTAAATAACAAATATTCTTTTTAAATTATTTTATTTAAAATATACATAATAAAATCTAGGCAAATATTAAACACTATATTTGGCATAATATTTATTCCATCACAATTATTAATTCGACTCAGATTAATGTTTCTTCTAAAAATACATAAATATAAATACTAGTTTTATTTACAATAAGGTAAAGTAAAAAATATATAAAATGGTTGATTTGACTAGAAACATTAAAATTAAACAAATAACAACAAAAAAATATGGATTTAAAAGTGACTAGCAAAAATACCTAACAAAATATAAATATTTTCAAAAAAAAACATGGTAAAATAACAATATTTTCATGGAAACGGGATTCCTTTACTGTTCACTGTTGAAATATGAATTTTGCATGAGGTAGAGTTTATCTATGGGATTGGTTACACTGCCTGTTGAGGGAGTGCTGTCGCCATGGTGGGAATGAGATTGTAATTCTAGATTTTGCAAAGATAGGGTGTCTGATGTTCCTTCGTCCAGATGGTCGAAATTTGTACTGTCGTCTAAGGATATGTCTGAACTGCAGAAGGATTCGCCTGAATGTGCTGGATAATTATCTGAAAAAGATAGTATGTTCTGTATACACTCTATAAATGAAAGTATGAAAAATAAATCGGGGGATGATACAAATAATATATTTACTTAGACAGGGTGGCGCCTCTCATAATATCAAGTTGGGGCTCGAAGAAGAACGACATTTTATATTGAAATAAAATTTTGTGAGCATATGTAGGTTTTAATTTCTTTTTTATTGTAAGTTGTTATATAGCATATACAGGGTGTTTCAAAACAAATGCGAAAAACTTCAGGGGGTGATTCCTTGTTCAAAATAAAGGGTAGTTTGCTTTATAAACGTTGGGTCAAAAGTCAACCATTAGGGAGATATCGCGGTACAAAGATGGCGGAAAAATAATGTTTTTATTTTTTATCTTGAAAACGAAAAGAGATAGACAAATGAAATTTTACGGAAGCATTACTGTTATGAAAACACACTTTCTGGTAATTTTTTCACTTTTTTAAAATGAGTGGAAGGGGTTGAAATAAACTACCCCTATCATTCTTGTTAATGAAATTTAAAGAAAAATCTTATCAAACACATGCAAAAAAAATTAATTTTGATAGTTTAGTTTATTTAGAAACTTTTTTATCTCTTGTGTTTTTTTGATAAAACTCACCGATTTGAAATTAAAAAATAAAATGTAAAGCATTACATGTCAGGACAAAAAACATTTTTAGATAAAGAATCTAGTGGGCAGCTGTAATTTTTTTAGGAAAAAATCTAGTCGGCCGCTGTCACTTTTTAGGATGTTTCTAATATTGTTTTATTTGACATTACCCTACTGCAATACGTTATTATCTACATTATTATTATTATCATTATTATCACTATATTATTAATCTAAAAATATTTTTAGTCCTGACATGTAATGCTTTACATTTTATTTTTTAATTTCAAATCGGTGAGTTTTATAAAAAAAAATAGAGAGATAAAAAAGTTTCTAAACAAACTAAACTATCCAAATTATTTTTTTTGCATGTGTTTGATAAGATTTTTCTTTAAATTTCGTTAACAAGAATGATAGGGGTAGTTTATTTCAACCCCTTCCACTCTTTTTAAAAAGGTGAAAAAATTACCAGAAAGTGTGTTTTCATAACAGTAATGCTTCGATAAAATTTCATTAGTCTATCTCTTTTTGTTTTCAAGATAAAAAATAAGAACATTATTTTTCCGCCATCTTTGTACCGCGATATCTCCCTAATGGTTGACTTTTGACCCAACGTTTATGAAGCAAACTACCCTTTATTTTGAACAAGGAATCACCCCCTGAAGTTTTTTGCATTTGTTTTGAAACACCCTCTATATTGTTTAAAAATATGTATATGGGGTTTTACAGGTTTATAGGTGCATTTTTTGTAATGTAACATACTAAACAGGGTGTTTAAAAAAACATGTGCCATCTTTCGTGTGGAGATTCCTCACGTAAAAATAAGATTTATTTTTCATATTATAGTCCCGATTCTGCTTTGTTTCGTAGTTACAGGGGGTCACAAGTCTTAATTTTTTTTTATTTATTATAATTTTCTTCAAAAAGTGCTTTTAGCGATTCAAAAGAAATTTTGGGGAAAAGTTATTATAAATCTCAATATATCTCATCAAGGAGATCGAAGTCGACAAAATATCAAGATGCAATAACTTTTAATCGGCATTATATAAACAGCATATTACACAAAATTTTTCTAACAATAAAGAAAAAAATCAGTGGCGCACATGTTTTTGAAAAATATCCCGGTGACAATCCATATGCACGTCTCTGGTAGATATGTCGACACTTTTTTAGCATTAAAATTTGTCGCACTTATAACTTTTACCCACAAGCATTTGGAAGAGAATTATAATAAATCGAAAAAAAAATTTAAGACTAACCCCCTGTACCTACGAAACAAAGCAGAGTCGGACCTATATTAATATAAAAATAAATCTTATTTTTAAGTCCATGACAGATGGCATATGTTTTTTGAAACACCCTGTATATAAACTGATTTTTAGAATCTAGGAAGAAAATAAAGATGTGAGAATTACAATTATTTAAAGAATAAGCATAATATTATAACACAGATTATAACTAAAATGTACGGTTTCTGACAAATTTAACGATTTTAACAATAATAGCCTAGTATGTAGTTAAAATACCCATCCTCTCATTTTTTTTACTCAAAAATTTATACAGGGTGAGACACACTTAATGTAAACTTTTAAAAGCAAGATATATTTTTTTTAATTTTTTTTATGAGGCCCACCCTCTATAGGGTGTGCCCAAATACCAATATATTGGGTTACCCATCAGTGTTCTGAAATTGCCCCATATCAAGTTATCTATTTGAGATTTTCACATCTTTTGGTTTTTGTAAAAGTCAAATGTTAGCAATGTCAATGCTTACACAGGCACCCCAAATCTCATTCAAATAACGATTGTTAAAATATCTAATAAAATGTGTTTATTTTTTAAAAGTTTGATGCTCTCTAACGGGTGGTAAAATAAGAACTTTTGTATAGAGGTAAATTGTGTCCAATGAACTCATTTTGTTTCCAAAAATACGTAGTAGCTCTATGTCTATGGAGTACTGGGACACCCTATATATGATACAAGGATATGATGTATATGTGACTACACACAATAACTTACCATCAGGTGAATAGGGCATATTTGGATTTAGGGGCTGTCCAGACGAACTATATCCCATGGCAATACCGAACTCGCTGCTGGCAGGACTAGATTCTTGTTTTATGGATTTCTCGTCTTTGTCGGTTTTGTCTTTATCGCTGGGCGACTTTCCATCTTCCTGCTTCTGTTTTCTTTGTATCTTTTTCATTTTCGCTCTCTGATTTTGAAACCACACTTGTACGACTCGCACGCTCAGTCCTGTTTCTTTTGCTAGGGCTTCTCTGACTTTCCGACAGGGCTTTGGACTGACCTGAATATAAAATTATTACAGTGAATAATTATTATAGATTGTGTACAATGGAAAAATAAACAGTGTCAGAATGGAGCTGGCTTGGAAAATCAGCGATCATTATTTCCAACTCAACTTGACGTTTTTTTCGAGCTTGATGACATTCGATCATACAATACATTTAACTAATACATGATATACCCTCTGTATAAAAAGTTTTAGTTGAAGAAAAGCGCAATCACTAAAAATACCGTATGATCGAAAAAAACAACGTCAAGTTGGCTGGGAAATCACGTTCGATGACATTTCCCATATAAATTTACAATAAATTGACCGCGATCTTCATTTCATAGCTATCGTTGACGCTGTTTTATTTTCGATAATACTGTGCGAATCCAGTAAAATTGATTATTTTTTTATAAACATTTTTGTCCGTCAGTTATAATTTGTAATAGTCTAAGAGCTAACAACGTTTTCGAGAAAGTATTTTAAGAAAGCTAGCTCTTTGATAATATATATTTTACTGTGCTCTCTGGAACAGCATGCGGGCCGTCTGGCTGCCGATACACGTTGCGTTCTAGAGAGCTAGTAAAAGACGCTGTTCTAGAGAGCATAGTAAATGATATATCAGAGAGCCAGATGTCTTAAAATACTTGTTTTCCCGACGTTGCAGGCTCTCGTACTATGAAGTAATTGTTTTTTTTTCTGTATATTTCTGTTATTTTTTTTTTGTTTTTCTATCCCATACACTTCGGTTATTTTGCTCGGTTTTAACGGTACAGTTAACACGGCGCGGATATAAAACATGGGTAAGCAAGTCTCATTTTGAATCGTACCAAGACAGTTAATGTGTTATATTTAATTAGTTTAGTATGGTAATAGTATAGTTGAAGAATAAGTTAGTTTAAGTGTTTTATCGTGTGGTTCAAGTTAAGAACCCACGGAATATGTTATATATTATTTATATATTTTGCGACGGATTCAAAACTTGTATCACATACAAGGTGTTTTGGGTGTATCATATACAGTGTGCATTTGAAATAAAAAAGTTGTATATTAAGTTACTGTTGAAATACATGCGTAACATTTTTTTATGGAATTAATTCCGTTTGGCTGACGCTGACACACATAATGGATAACAGTGTTCGGCAATAATGCGTCGGGCATCTGTAGCGCCTATAATAAAAAAATAAAATTTTGTTTAAGTTCCTATCTAAGTATGTATTATGATGTATTTCAAGAAAATATTTTGTATTAGTTCTACAGGGCGGTTCAAAAATGTGTGAGTTGATCGGGTTGTTTATTTATCAGAACACCCTGTATATTATTGCGTTTTTGACTTCCTTTCTGTTCACATTAAGATATAACATCCTAAGATATTATTAAATATGTTTTGATAGTTTCAGAGATATTAGTAAATAAATAAAAAAACATTTTTTTCAGTCTTGTAAAAAATTATTAAAAATACAAGATATGTCCTAAACTCAAAACTATACCAGATATCTTTCTAGATATGTACTATAGTTCGTCTGTACTTACTTTGCTATAAATATCGTAATCTTAAACCATACATGATGTTCAAAATTCTATGCCAAACTTTCTAAAATATTAAATAGATTTTTTTATTTTTTTTTAAATGAAACGTACATTATTTCTTTGATAGATGGAGAATTAAAAAATGAACATTTTTGTATTTAAATTATTTTTGACGGTTTTACGGATATTCGTGGTATTATATTACATAATATGTATTTTTCGATAGTATTTTTTTATCAAAGCTACCTTATGATTTTTGTCTAGTATTTTACCGTTCAAATAAGAGCGAGCCATATGTAATAAAACCGGAAATATTTGCGAAACCGCCAACATTTTTAAAATACTTTAAATACGATAAATGTTCATTTTTTTATTCTTCATCTAAAAAAGGTATAATATACAGGATGTTACATTTCAAAAACGCAAAAAAACTATTTTATATTTAGAAAGTTTGCCATAGAATGTTGTACACCCTATAGGGCTTAAGATTACGATATTTATAACAAAGTAAGTACAGATTAATTATAGTTAATACCTAGTAGAGTTTTGATTTCAGGATATTTCTTGAATTTTTAATATTTTTTTAAAAAGGGCTGAAATTTATTTTTTATTTATTTGCTAATATCTCTGAAACTAACGAAACATATGTATTTGTATCGTATTTACTAAGAAAACTAAAAATGAAATAGTATACACGGTGTTCCATTTAAAAAAAATCATCCCGATCAACTCACACTTTTTTGAGCTAGCTTAGGTTTTAGGTTGCGCTAAAATAAAATTCTAAAGGTTTTTTATTATAGGAGCTACAGATGCCCGACGCACTATTGCCGGACTCTGTATAACAATTGATATGGTATATACAATATGTGTGTCAGCCAAAAGGAATAAATATACCTTAAACTAAATACATACCTCAAACGATGCTTTAAACTGTCTTCTCTGCGCTGACGTTAATATCGTTCTAGGCCTTTTAGGTCCTCTTCTTCCATCTCTCGGTCTACTTGAATCATCTAGTAAGTCTTCGTCTCCGCTGTGCGTTTGCTGCATCAGATACAATTCTTTTTCAAAGTCTTGCCGACAAAATAATTGGCCCGCTCTTAAAACAAATTGCTCACCTGAAAAATCAATTTTCCATTTCTATTCACATAATGAAAATCATGTGAAGATGTTAAAAAAGTAAGCGTAACATTTTGTGTTCATTCTTACTTTTTTTATTTGATTTTATTTAAAAGTGTTTGTTTTTGTCCATATATGATTTTGTTGATAAATAAGGAAGAAAATTTACCTTTCTGTAAAGGCTGGCAACAAACTACACAAACAAAACAAGGTAAATGATAAACGTGTTGTTGGGCTCTCATAACCATTTCGTGGGGTAGAAGTCTGTCTCCGCATCTTGAACATTTTACACCAAATATTCTGTAAAGAAAACAAAGCAGTGTTAGTTCTATACATGTTCATATTATTTAAATATTCAAAATTATTATGTGTGTGTATATTTTTGTTTGTCGGATTTGAAACTTGACATTTTATCATATGATAAAAAAAGCAGTGTTCCAGTGGCATTAAAATAATATTTCATGAAAATTTCTGTCGATAATAACACCTCTACATTTCATTTATTAAAAGATGAGTAGAAATCGAATAAATAGTTTTACAAGTTAATGATTGGCGTATCTAAAAACACTAAATTTTCACTGAAATTTATATCGGTTACAAAACAGGTTATAAAACAAATTTGAATATGTATTGAATTATAAATTGTATTTTTAATGCAATATGTTATAATTCAATACATATACATATTCAAATTTAAAACATCATTAAATTAAAAATTGAGTTGCAGAGACAATTTATAATTTAATCAATATTTAATTTTGAAACAGTATTGAATTAATACTTGTGTTTCATAACCTAACGGGTTATGAGAGACATTTTATAATTCATTACATATTTATATTTGAAACAGTATTGAATTATAAATTATGTCTCATAACCCAACAGGCTATGAAAATAATTTTATAATTCAGTAGATATTCAAATTTAAAATGGTATTGAATTATAAACTGTTTTATGAGAAAACATTTATGAGAAAAAATTTATAATTCAACTAGCGTGTACCCGCGACTTCGTTCGCGTCGAATTAATCATTTGTAATGGTAATGATAAAGCAAAGCAAGAATTTTCATTAACATACAAACTGGATAAAATTTTCTCACATTTATGTCAGTATGAGAAAAACAATATGGCGATATCATTAAATAACTTGGTAATAATTTTAGGGTAGTTTCATCTCGTTGGAATTTGAGTTTTGAAAAATCCGTTTGCCAAAAATAAGCTTTTTACGTCAAGCAGTTTAAGCAGAATTGTGGTTAATCAATTACCCAACTTTTTGGAATACCCTGTATGATTTTTTTAAAAATTCCAAAATATGTAAAAAAATAAATTGTACGTGTCCAAGCGTTTTCCCGAAATACTAATCGTTTTTTAAAAGCAAATATTGTAATATTTGAGGGGCGTTTTTACGGAATTTGAGATTCGAGAAACCCCTCCTTATCGAACCTCTACACCCCACGGTCGATCCGTTTGCCAAAAATCAGCTTTAAACGTCAAGTAGTTTAAGCAGAATCGTGATTACTCAATGGTCATATTTTATGAAACACCCTGTATAAATTTTTAAATGTCTTAAAATATGTAAAACAACGAAATAAAATATATGTACGTGTTTAAGAGTTTTTCCGAAAAACTCACCGGTTTTTAAATAAAAAATATTCTAATATTTGAGGGGCGGTTTCACCCCCTTAGAATTTTAGTTTCAAAAAATCCCTTCTTATCGAACCTCTACACCCTAAAGTCAATCCGTTTTTCAAAAATTCAGCTTTTTACGTCAAGCGCTTTAAGCAAGATCGTGATTAATCAATGACCAGATTTTGCGAAACACCCTGTATACATTTTTAAAAAATCTTAAAATATGTAAAAAACAAAATAAAATATAAAAATATGTGTTGAAGCGTTTTTTCGGAAACTTGACCGTTTTTTAAATAAAAAATATTGTAATATTTGAGGGGTGGTTTCACCCCCTTGGAACTGAAATTTCGAAAAATCCCTTCTTATCAAACATCTACATCCTAGAATCAACCTGTATGCCAAAACTGAGCTTCTTACGTTGAGTGGTTTGAGCAGGACCATGATTAATCAGTGAGTCAGTCACTTAAGGATTTTATATATTAGTATAGATAGATGTTGAAATTTAAAATAGCATAGAATTATAAATATATATTATTATTACAAAAATTATAAATTGTATTTCATAACTTAACGGTTTATGAAACATATTTTATAATTCAATACATATTCAAATTTAAAACAGTATTAAATTATGTTTCATGATCCAACAGGTTATAAGAAACATTTTATAATTCAATACACATTCAAATTTGAAACAGTATTGCATTATAAACTATGTATCACAATCTAACAAATCTAACAGGTTCTGAGAAACATTTTATAATTCAATAGATGTTTAAATTTAAAATAGTATAGAATTATAAATTGTGTTTCATAACTTAACGGGTTATGAGACATTTTATAATTCAATACATATTCAAATTTTAAACAGTATTGAATTATAAATTATGTTTCATGATCCGACAGGTTATAAGAAACATTTTACAATTCAATAGATATTCAAATTTAAAACCGATTCAATTATAAATTGTGTTTTGTAAGGTTAGATAAAAAGTTCCATCGCTCCAATCATATTGAAGTATGATTAGTCATTTTTGAAATAAACTAACAAAACTGCCTATACAATAAAAGATATGACGGATTTATAAATGTACACTCATCCATAGTTATTTGACAAAAACAAAACCTTTTTTAATGAAAAAGATGGATTGGTAGAACCGTCATCTGCATTTTTTCTTAAAAATCTTTCGTATCGTTTTACAGACTACAGTTATGTCTTTGTTCATCTTTGAATAAAAATATATTTGAAAAGCTTACATCGCAAAAGTAATACATCAAAAATGAATAGAATACCATGAATCCTTCCCAACAATAACATTTATTACTGTTTACAACTTTCTCGAAGAAATCTTTACAAACCCTCCAGACACACATTCCTACAAAAAAAGCCGTGGAAAATTTCATTTAGAATATCGGCAGAGCCGTAGCTCTAATACCGCGCCGACTAAAGAATAGGCTCTATATCCCTACCGACGGTCGCCGACAACAAAGGGCCTCCCCGAGGCTTTTATTAAACGCCACGACGCCTTGCGAATCTCATATTAGACGCGTCTCGGCGCCTTACCAAAAGGAATATTTAACGGCACGATGGTCCGGGCCTATTTTAATAAGGACTTTTTCCTTTTTCGGGGAGGTTTTTTTCGAAGAAAGAAGAGAAAAAACGAGGTTCCTGAGGTGGAAAAAATATGTGCTTGGTCGTCTGGAACAGGGAATCAGTGCTTGTGCAAATCAGCATATCTACTATACCGGATGTTGCTCAAAAGTGGCTTACCCCTATAACTTTTATTTTTCAGCCAAAAAATTGACGTATTCAATTATTTTCGGTCACTTCCTGTTTCACCTGTATTTTTTACTTTAATTGATAAAAATGACACCCTGAATAGAATGACATAGCATAAGTGAACTTTTAATGTTTTTGCTTAAAAGAATTGTATTTTAAATTTTAATCTAGAGTGCCATGGTTGTGTTAAAACTATTATTTTTTAATCAAGGGGTTTCGGAAAAATAGATTTGATCGGCTAATGTTTTTTGTTTTAACCAAATCACATTTTTAAACATAACCAATTTTTTTAAATGGAACGAGGGTGGCTCATTAGCATATTTGGAAAAAAAAAAAACATTTTTTACTAATAATTTGGTACTAATAATTTCGAGTCAAATTATCGTTATGAACTGGAAACCATATGCGAAAATGTCAAAAGTTAATATACCGGGTGTGTCTCAAAAGTGGCTCACACCTATAACTTTTTATTTCTTCAGATAAAAAACGAGATTTGGTATGTTAGTATATCACATAAATTAGATTGATTGACGTATTCAATTGTTTTTGTCACTTCCGGTTTCACCGGAAATGACTACAACTCTTGATTTTTAAACGGTACCCACGGTATTTTTTTACTTTATTCGATAGAAAATGACACTCTGAATCGAATGACATATCATATGTCAACTTTTGAAATGTTGGCATATGGTTTATTTGAAATTGCAACATGCGGTTCATAACGACAATTTGACTCAAAATTATCCAAACCAAGTGTGTGGTATCAAATTATTCGTAAAAAAATGCGTTTTCCAAATATGCTAATGGGCCACCCTCGTTCCATTTGAAAAAATTGAGATATGATTAAAAATACGATTTGGGCATCTTTTAACCGGCCAGGACAAGACACTAAAAACATTAGATAATCAAATTCATTTTTCCAAGGCTCCTTGATTAAAAATTAGTGTTTTTAACACAGCCTTGGCACTCTAGATTGAAATTTTTTGAAATAATATACACAAATAATATCACTCCAGATTTGAGAATTTCTATCAAATAAAGTAAAATAATGCCAAGGATGTGTCATTTAGAAATCACAATTTGTAGTAATTTCCGGTTTAACAAGAAGCGACTGAAAACAATCAAATACGTCAATTAATCCTGAATAATATAATATTCTAAAAATGTGATTTCCTAACGACGGCGACGTCTGGCGCGTCTCCCGCGTCTCCCGCGTCTCGCCGCACACTAGTCCGTTTCGCTATAAAGTCAGACATTACTTTTCATTGATATAATAAAAAACCGGGTTTGGCCATGTACGTTTATAAAAACGAACCAGTGTGGAGCAAAACGCGGGCGCCAAGCGTCTCGCTAGGAAATCGTACCTTAAGGTACCAAATCTCGTTTTCTTATCTGAAAAGAAATAAAAGTTATAGGGGGAACCACTTTTGAGAAACACCCGGTATGTGTGAACAGTTTTTATCACTGTTTTATTAGCTTATATGTGTCGCTGTAATGTAATGTTTGAACGTTAATTTTCACTTTTAAACGCCCGATTAAATTAAAACTTACCAAAATTCTCAAGAACCAACAATACAAAAATTCATTAAGTTTGTTTCATATTCTGATCAGGATTATCAGGATTAACGGCTTTTTAGTTCTGAATCCATAACAAAAATATTTGCACGATATATAATCTACCATTTATGCACCATCAATGATATTTAGTTGCCTATTTAAAGTAGATTAGATTATTAAATGTACCTATAATTACAACAATGGATCAAAAATTATTGAATTAATGGGTTATTCTGATTTTCCTCGTTTGGTTGGCAATAAGTTTAAGAAATTCAAATATTTCTCGGCTGTTATCACTATAACGTCAAAACAAAGAAAAAATTAAATGACATGATTGTTTTTTGACGATAATTAAATTCGTTTTTCATAATAATGTAAGATTCATTTAAACGAGATGAGAATGCAATGAATGGATTTAATCTAAATGATTTCTATTTTAATTATTGAATAACTGTATATTAATTTGATTTGCCGTTTGATGACTTTTTTAAATAATTTTTGCCATGTAAGAACACTTTATATACTTTTAATTAGTTTGATTTGCCGTTTATAATAAATTCGACCTAATTAAAAGCACACAAAGTGCGTTTACAAGTCAAAAATTATTTAATATAAAATTGCAAATTAATCGGATTTTAAATCTATTAAATCAATCCCCTCCCGTCCCGCTCCTCTGATTACTTGTTACACCAGACAGCAGGTAGCGCCATTGTATAATAAAATTGCAATGTATTATAAGTTGCCTATCTATTTTATATTATACAGGGTGGTCCGAACTGTATTCCGGAAACTTCGGCTGCATATTCTGCAGATAAAAATAAGTAAAAAAGTTCATATAAATGTATGTCCTAAAATGCTTCGTTTCGGAGATACAGGGTGTAGAAGTTTCATTTTTATTTTGATTTTTTCCAAATACATTTTTAAATGTTCGGTTTATCGAGGTACTACTGTGTTTTAATCATTGTTCATATAATGAACGATTATTACCTTTTTAGGTCTTATAATATTTTCACATTTCCATAACTAAATATCGAAGAGATTTAAAAATAGACAAATTATATTAACTTTATAATCATTTATTTTTTTACAGAGTTTATTCTGGTAGACCTATATCAATTTTCAATAATATTTTATACAATGAGGATATAAAAATGTTTTAAACCATATTTACCTGTGTGCTTATTATTTTACGAAAAACTTAATTTATTAATTTCGACGTATTTCAAACATTTAATTAAAATATTTATTTATATAAATTTGGTAATTACTCCATCAAATTTTCATAACAATTATTTTATAATATTACACAAAATGAATGTATTTAAGCCTTGTCAGCGAAACAGTGGTATCTACAATAAATATTTACATTATGTTAATTAATTTAAATTATAATATAAATCTTTACATTGTTTATTATTTGTATTGGTTTAACTTATTCGAATTATAAAGGTTTCAGAATATAAACAGTTTGAATCGAATTTTTGGAAATACAGGGTGTCAAGAAATAGCGTATCTAACTACGGTGTGTGATTCTATACAGATAAAAAGAAAACAAAAAGTTCCTATGAATATATACCCTAAAATGCTTCCTGAAGAAGTGGTAAATAAAGATAATATATTCTACTTATTTTTAAGAAAAAACATTGGTAAACAGTTTTTCTTGATATTCCGTACTCTTACATACATTTTAATGTCAAAGCGAAAGGCGATAGTGTAAAATTTTGTAACAGCCCTAATAGGGTACTTTCCATTAGGGTAGAGAGTACTGCTAATTTTTTTTCTGTTTGTATACTTGATTATGACAGATATTTTTTTTAATATCGTTAGTTCTGTTATCGTTATTAATGTTTATTAAAACCAGGACTGTAGTATTTAACCTTTATTTTTAATTTAGTATACAGTATCCAATGCAGTGTAATATTATGACGTTATGATAATAGTGACCAAAACCATCTCGGCATATTAAAAAAATACATCAAAAAGCAATGATAATTGAAAAAATTCTAAATTGATCGTAATCAATTCATTTCGCTCTTAAAAATTAACCAAAGCATGTACTGATATGTATCAAAAAACAAAATGCTCAGGTGTCGTGGTACTGACTGTAAAATTATATTTTAGGAAAATTCACACACGAAATTATTGCACAGGGTGTTTTAAAGTTGGGGTAAGAAAACAATCCCTCGATTAACCCCGTATAATATGCCAAATACTAAAGTTTATAAAAAACTTACTTTACGAATTAAAGTTGATATAATTATGTACAACTTGCTAAAAAAATCATGAAAATAGGGCGAAAAATAACAGAAATATATCACTTCAAAAAAGACCAAACATTTCTCCGTTGCGTTTTTTACATCTGAGTGTAGATACAGTAATTTCAATAAATGGCGTTTCTAAGGACTTTCTTACGTAAAAAGGTGCTCTTTGTTTAGTTCGGAAGAGTGAACGGCTTTCAAGATATTTGCGTTGATTGCATCGATTTTAATATTAGCCAAACCATGAGATTAATTTAATTATAATTTCTTTACATTTTATCATTTATTTATTTCTTGAAATTACTGTATCTATAAGGATAAAATAAGTACCTACCACCAGTAGTATTCTCTACCCTAATGAAAAGTACCTTTTCAGAGCTGTTACGGAATTTTACTCTATCGCCTTTCGCTTTGGCATTAAAATGTGTGTAAGAGTACCAAGTTTCAAGAGAAATGCGTTACCAATGTTTTTAAAAATAAAAAAAAAAAACATTCTATTTGAGGGCTGTAACTTCCTGGCAAAGCATTATGGCATATGTTCATAGAAACTTTTTGTTTTATTTTTATCTGTAGAATCACCCACTGAGTTTAGATCCACTGTTTATTTGAAACATAAATTGATAGGTTTTCTAAGCAAAAATATCGTTAGTAGCGTAAGTAAAAGATTCTTAAAAATTTGGTATAGTAAGTATCTTAAGCATGGAAATTTCGAATTTAAGTTAGAAGATACGTTTAAATTGTAGAATAAACTTTTTTATTAATAGTATATAATATTCTTACCTATCATAATCAGCCTTACAGTATAACTTCATGTTTCTTGTGTAGCAAGAATGGGACAGAAGAACACCACAAACACTACAGCACAGACAGTGTTCGTGCCAACTTGCATCGCCTACTCTCATTAAATACCGGTCGTGGATCTTTTGACCGCAACCTTCGCACATCTCGTACGTTTTTTCGCATTTTATTAGATGAGCATTCGGAATCTCTGGAAAAAAGGTTTTTGTTAAAAATATACCAAAAAAATTAAGTAAATTGAATATTGTTAGCATAACCGTTCAGTATATGATCCACACATTAATTTTAATATTTTGTTCAGTTTATTTATTACTAGCTGACCTGTCGGTTTAAAGGGGCGGCCATCACGGTTTTTCTGCTGAGAAGCAAGGGGAAAGACACCACCTACCTGCTGAGCCTTATCCAGGGTCAGAACTTCAATGTAAAGACATCTAGTTGGCGAGTCATCAACTCGAGGGAGGAGGGTCATGGTCATGTCCTCACAATAGGAATTGACCTCAAATCCAAGGAGGCAATAGAGAAAGAGGGACATATCCTCTATTATAGATACGGGACAACACCGGTATCAGGTCTAAGGAGAGACCAAGTTAAAGTGGTGAAGAAAATGGAGACAGATCCTGCAGCTTCCACTTCACGGGTTCCTCAGCCGGAGGCAAACTCCTCGACTGTGAAGGATGGAGGGCCAAACTCCAACCGTGGAAGGGTGTGTACCCTCGTTGAAAGAACTGTTGTCAGAAGAGGATGGGATATACCCTATCCCCTCTACAATAGGGGTATGATGGGTTATAGATTGTGTGATAACTCAAGGAAGGGGGACACAATAGATCTTTAAGGTCGCAGTGATTAACCCCCCCCCCTCTTACTCATTCTACATTCTACATTCTACAAATAAATTAATTTAATGGACATCAATCATATCTACTAGTGATGGGAAAAACCGATAAATTTCAATAATTGAGTACTCAAGTTTCAAGCGATTTCAATAATCGGGCGATCGCTCGAGCGAAATTTCGCACATATTTAAAAATATGGTTTTTCGCCCGTCGCTTGTTGTACTCGTAACACCAAGCAGTAAGTTGCGTGCGCAGAGCACATAATATTCTTTCGGTGATGAATGGCAAGTAGTAAGCGAATTTTCGCTCGAGTTATCCTATCACTAATATATACATTAAAATAATACGTACAGTTTATACTAAATTATAAATAGTATTGATAAAATAGTCAGTAGCCAAAAGTATTGGCTACTGTATAGCCAATTTTCATCCTTTTTAAAATTAAACGCCGCAAAAAATCAAATAACATTTACTTATTGTAGATTCATATTGTATAAAGACTTACGTTTTTGTGGGCGATATTGTATTTGTATTGTATTTTACTAAGAGTGAGTCCCACGTGGGACCCTCCACTGGGGCCGCGAGGGCCTATTGTGGCTCAGTTTTTACAAGCTCTTTAATAGAAAAAGAGCATTAAAGTTCACCCTCAAGACCCAGCCTTTTAACATAGGCCGTTATGTCCGAGGGTGATATGTCTTTTAGGTCTGATAGGTCTAGCGTGGGTTTGCCAAACACCTCAAACCTGGTCCTGCCCCCAGCGGTGCAGGTACACATAACGTGCTTCATTGTTTCGTCATCTTCCATACAGAGTCGGCATTCGGCGTCTTCCACCAGTCCCATCCTCTGTAGGTGTGATCTCAGCCGGCAGTGAATCGTGTATACTGCAGTAAGCGTACGCGCTCCGTTCCTACCAGCCTTTAGGAGTTCATCTGTTCTACGTTTGGATGGCCCTGCTAGGATTGTCTTGGCATGTTCCATTCCGGGACTGTCATACCAGTCCCAAAACGTCACACCCCTAACCCATTCACAGAGCCTGTCTCTTGCGAGATTTTTTGGTACGCTAAGTGTCAGTTCTGGGCCTACGAATGGCAAGCCTGCACCAGTTTTGGCGAGGGAATCAGCACGTTCATTTCCCTCTAGGCTGACATATGCCGGTATCCATATTAGCGACACTTTGTTTCCATCTCCTAATATATTGAGTAGTTTCTTACAATGAAGAATCGTCCTGGACGTACTTTTCGTTGCCTCAAGTGCTTTCAACGCGGCTTGACTATCCAAAAATATGCTTATTGTTTTCCCGGTGTATTGCTGTTGTACCAGCAGTTGCACACAGGTTTCAATCGCATATAGCTCAGCTTGGGCGATATGATAAACTATTGAAATTTATATAATCAGAATGTTCTGTGATATAGCATTCCCGTATAATCCATTTGCCACGTATTTGTAAAATTTTGTATAATATAAAGTCTCCAATTTTCTCTATAATCTTGATATACCATATCGTTCATTTAATGTTTGCCGTAATATTGATAAATCAGCAGTAAAATGTGTTTATCTCGGGTAAAATATAAAAATAATTATCACTTTTGACATATAATAAATGCGAAAATAAGATTTGAAAAGTAATTTTCACATTTATTACGTGTCATAGCGACCAACCTGCGTAATATCATACCTTCTTTTCTTTGTATCATGGTCTGTTCTCCCAGAGGCCTTTTCTTTGATCCAAATAATAGACGTTTTAGCCCAATAATTCTAATTTGATAAACATAACACAAAATTAACATGTGACAAAATGTTATTATTATTTTATTTTACTCTTTAGTACGTATATCATAAATATCTATGTGTGTATGAGTATTAAAGCTGTTGACTTAAATTTGTAAATAAATTGTATACAACTCTATTAATTTTTCGAAGGTGACATTAATTTTACCATAACCAGGACGTTTACAACTTCCCTACATTGTACAAGTTTAATTTTATTCGAGCAATAAAGGGAAATGCGCTAACTTATAATCTCCAACAAATACCGAAACACAGAGATAGCGTCTGCACGAATTACCATATTCTCGAATTCGAAATTCCTTAGTGTCGCCCTCTAAGGGCATATTAATAACTATGTTCCTATACATTAATATGAAATATTTTAATTACCATTTATAATTAGATAAGAATAATTTAAATTAATATTTTATGCGTTTAAACTTGAGGAAATATTCTTTCTTTTATTGAAACTCCATTCAATGTTTGTTTGAAAGTGTTAGACAATACTGAATTATGAAATAATATATTCTTGGACTAACATTCTCTCATTTTTCTTTGACAAAATAGTATGATAGTATATTGTTTTACGAGGACTAATAATGACATTTTTTTAGCGAGACTGCATGTACAGGGTGGGTCAAATTCGACGCTGTTAAATGGAAACACCCTTTTCTATAGGAGATAGACAAAAACTAATATCGGTGTCTGGAGCTCAATTTTTGTCAAAAACATGATGGTGAAACCCGCATATCGATATCTGTTACCGTTTCGGAGTTACGGGGTGTTTTTCAAAAATATGCATTTTTAACAAATCGCTGTAACTTTTTTGCTATGGAAAATTTTGTATTTTTATGAAAACATTTCCAAAGCACCTTTTTACGTAGAATTTAATGGTTTAAGTATATATTTTTAAAAATTAATAATTTAAGAATTATCAACAGAAAATTTGATTTTTTATATGGGACACCCTGTATATTTTTAATTTATTGAAAAGAATTTAAAATTACCTTTCCAAAAATATAACACACTTGATATTTTGCTCAATTCCTCTTCGAGATATAGAGTATATAAAAATTCGCCCGCTTTAAAAAATAAGTAGGCTTTGAATCTTGGGCTTTGAACGGCACCGGCTGTAATGCAAAAATGGCTGTAAAACGAAAATAATATTCGCTATGAGAGATGCAGAATTTTATAACAATTTAAATTATTTAACCAACATCAACAAATTTAAACTATATCTAATAACAATAAAATTAATAAAAATAAATAGCAAACCAAGACATGAAATTTTGCTACAGGTGAAATTTTGCTACATATCGACCGTCTTCTGTTATGGACAGACGGGGCAGTTTTTGAACATTTTTCGCGGAATTCATTAATTCAGTTGGGGTAAAAGATACCCTCTCATAACTGCTAAGTAGTTATAATTCTTGTCTAGATTATACGGAAGAATAAGGAACCTTTATTCTTCCGCAAATATATCCATAGGATTAGATCCATGGGCATTAAGTCAGGCGGCTTCGACGACCAACGGCTGGGATCTTGGTTAGCTTTCAATTATTCTAGAAATTGGCTGCAAAAATTTGCTGATAACTTCAGCGTTCGGAGGCGGTGCGTCGTCTTGCTGGAAAATATGTTTCCGAGTTCCATTATGGGCATACCATCAATAAGTGGTCCAAAGCCTACTAGTTAAAACTAGAGAACTTTCAAAAATTCTGTATTTCGAAGGGAATTAAAGCAAAATATCAAGTGTGCTATATTTTTGAAAAGGTAATTTTAAATTCTTTTCAGTTAATTAAAAATATAGAGGGTGTCCCAAATAAAAAATCAATTTTTCTGTTGATAACTCTTAAATTATTAATTTTAAAAAAAATATACTTAAACCATTAAATTCTACGTAAAAAGGTGCTTTGGAAATGTTTTCATAGAAATACAAAATTTTCCATAGCAAAAAAGTTACAGCGATTTGTTAAATGTGCACATTTTTGAAAAACACCCCGTAACTCCGAGACGGTAACAGATATTGATGTGCGGTTTTCACCATCATGTTTTTGATGAAAATTCAGCTCCAGACACCGATATTAGTTTTCGTCTATCTCCTATAGAAAAGGGTGTTTCTATTTAAAAGTGTCGAATTTGACCAACCCTGTACAGGCGATCCACAAAAAATCAATTTTATTCCGAATAGAACATGCTATTTTTTTTCAAACACCACAAATAATTTTTTAAACAAGTTTATCTCTTTCCGTCGTCGGAAGCAAAAAAAATACAAAGAATAAAGAAAAAAACTATTTAAAATATTTAAATTCAGCTATTCGAGAACCACTTTACTTTTTTTAAACAGATACGTCTACAAGAAAACGTTGAACGGAAAGAGATAAATTTTCCGAAACGTTAAACATTTTTTTCTTTGTTAGGCAAATTTGTATTACCGTAAACATAACTTCTGACAAGCAGTGTCCGTTTAGGTTTAACGCAGAAGTGTTCACAAAAAATAACTATTTAATTTTGTAGATTTTTCTTGCAGTGCAGTGGCGAAATATCCATAAAGGATTTTTTTACAATTTGTAATAATGATTTTCATTTAAAT